GATGTCACATAACCCTCGCTGACGAGGGATCTATCTTATTTAGACCACGGGTCCATTAGCGGGTTATAACGCATTCATGCAAGACGTGCGGTTATGCGAGTTACACCACGTCTGAATCTTTTGTTCTTCACTTCCACCGTGGTCTAAAGCGGGGTTGGAAAGTAGTGCATCTCATCTACATTCATGCGCTGCTGCAATTTTCCCTGTTTATGCTAAAAATCTGACAATACCGCAATTTTTAACATAAAATTTAGGTTCGAACATAGCCAATGATCTGTCGGGGGTTAAATATTTTCTGGACGAGATTCAGTGAGTCGTCTGTCGCCATGTTGTCACTCGGAACTACACCAATGTCTCCGCACTCGACAATAGTATGGAGCTTGCGGAATGAGCCGAGGATTGCCGATTTCCATGTTGTTGTATTCATACGACTCCTACTTGACGAAAACGAGGCGCGATACCCGGATGACAGGTAGGCTTACAAAATTTGTGATGGGGTATGATACTCTTTTATGCGATCTGACACACACCTTGAAAACGGGTAGTGTGGTCAGATAAACCGGTTTATACTGGACCCGTAGGTGCCGAGTCTGGTAGTTGGGAAGGCCTGTTATTGCTCTGATGACATACAGCTGATGGACAGTTAGACTTGTATTAGCTCTGGTGGCGGTCAGAGGTTTGAGATGTTATTTAGAATCATCTTCCGCTCAAGGTGCCATGAGCTAAACTATGTGGAAGCTTGACTGTTGATGAGTCCTTGTCACACTTCACTCTGCATATATGGGAAAACACTGATTCAGAAATGCTCATTCTTTTTTTAATGTAAAAAAGTAATAACAACAACTCTTCTTATTAAATTTTTTCAGTATTATTTTAAGAAACTTAAAGATATTATAGCATGATCATTTACTTTCAGCTTTTTGTACAAAATGGCCATGTAAAGTCCACTACATGAATATTAGTAAACATTGACGTCAATTTTTTTATGCAAAACATGGCATTAATTCAACTGAAAGACCAGGAAGCTTCTTTCTCAATTCAAACTTAGTGAGAGCATACTGTTCACTTCCTATTCCCACGGGTCATCCACAAACCTCTATTAATATTTATCTGTCCAAATCATGTACTTTAACAAGATAACATTAACATATGCAGAACGGGAAGAATGCATTCTCCAGAGTTCACTGCAGGCTTTCAATGAAAATGTTTACAACGAAGTTAACAGAATAGTTTAAGCTTATGGTGTTTCTTTCCAACAGCATGTTATATCAGTGAGCATGCACAAAGTTGGGGTGGTTTTAAAAACAAGCTAACTGCTGTTCACTTGGATGAGAACAAACTGAACAGCCAACCAACACTATTTTGACAATGTTAAATTCAATATTTTTACTAACGGTATTTCTTTTTTCAGTTTGCTCTATCTTTTCTTTGCATAGTGTGTCCATATACTGTCATTCTAGTGTCTTCAGTGGGTTATCAAATTATGAGCAATAGGAAATCTACTTCATGGCTCACTGTTTGTTCCAGCGTGTATTGAGCACCCACTTTGAACAAAAGATAGTCACACAATGAGGCAAAGCAGTTCCTATTCAAAATCCACTGCATCAGTGATGAATGGAGAACATGTTAATTTTAGTGTGTCATACCTATGCCATTTTGTTTACTACTGCTTGGTGTAATGATTGCAATTGTTCTGTCCATTTGTCCAGTGCACTATAACGCGCTGTCCCTTGTGCTTCTCGACTCAGTTCAAGCACTTGATTCACTTGATCTATCCTTCCATGAATTGTACTGAAAAAAAATCTTACCTATTACTAGTTAGGAAAATAAACATTAGAATATATAAAATTGACAATGGATTTTGCCAAATTAAAGTATGTCCTCACTCTATTTTCAATGCCCAAAATGACATTTTCTGCAATTTGCCATTTTAATATTACAAACCCCAAAACTCTGCCCACTTTACAAATATAATAATAAATATGGGGTTCTGATGGGTTTATCATTAATTTTCAAAAATTTGTTGGCTATCAATGAACATTGTATAAATGTGACATCATTTTGTGAAACTAACCAAAACTAGAAATAATTCTATATAAACTACATAACCATCAACATTGTCTATATATGAAAGGGATTGTTAAAAGATGGAATAAAATAGAACCTTATTTAAATCGCACAAAACACATGAGTAAATGTTTTTTTCTTCTTTTTTTTTACCTGTCTAAAATACATGATACTAAAAGGTTTTCCACTTCAGTCACATCTATGTTGAGTTCTTTGGAAATAAACGGAATATGGATCCTTGTGTATGGTTTGATGAGCTTGATCAGCACCTGAGTTCGGATATTTCGCAGTAAATCTGAAAATTAAACAAATCTTTATTCTACCAAGTAACCTCACTTCAGGCGAATTTTACAAAATACTAAACAGTTAGAAGTTCTTATTTGGATGTGTTTGTAAAGACATTTTCACTTATGACCATTTGAATTTTATCAGCCTTGGAACTCGACTCCCAAGTTGTTTCCACATATTACTGTCTGCCTTGTGAAAAAAATGTACTGCTATTAGTTCACTTATATTAACATACATCCTAACCAAACTAAACTTAAACCTTACCTTCTATGTGTTCTCGAATGAATGGATCTTCCATGATATTTTTCCTATTTGTTTTCAGAATCTTCTCAAATTCATTTATATCATTATTCTGGTATGCACTACAATAAAAATAACAAATACTTTCTTTAAGCATCTCTACAATACACACTGATAATCAACCCCGCCCCCTCAATTTTTGGATAATTCTTCATCTTTAGCTAATTCATCAACAAAAAAAAATAAAAAAATTCCACCCACCAACTATGCAAACCATATCCACTTCCAAATATTCCAGAGAAACATAATCATTACATACCTCACTAAATTAGTCATAGCTAAAATTTCTGGGTCATTCTTGTAAGGTTTTGCCTCCTGTGAGTCAAATGGGTTGATCCCTGATTTCATCAGCATGTTGGCAAGAACCAGATACTTAAGGCAGGTGGTCCTCCTAGAAAAAAACAGAACCCAATGGCATAGTAGACTTTGCTGTTAAATTTTTAATCTGCTTTCATATACATGCATGCAAGCACGCACTTAAGCGCACACACACTATACCACAAACATATTACAGCAATTATTATATATATAAACAAACAATAGACTTAAAGAAATCATTAAATTTAGATCACAATAAAAAAATCATCAAATCATGAAATGAGCTACATAAAATATTTTCAATGCACCCCAACCAAAAAATTTATCACTGTTCATATCAAGTTACCTTGGACTTCCAGATTCATCATAATTTTTGAATGCCTCAAAGAAATCTGTATGTGCTTTTTCATACTCTCCTTCACGTAGATGCATCTTTCCACCACATTCTGTAAAAGCAGGAATGCACAGCCAATCAATATGCATTCATTTACAACCATACTGGTCACTGAATCCACTTAAATATCCAACATTTCATCAAGGAGCAAAACTGGCATACCATTCTTTTTTATATGATGCAATATTTATAATGTTCAATGAATCTGCTAATAAATGGTTGTTTTTAAATCACTGACTTTATTTTACATAAGCATAGCCACAGCAATACAAGATGCATTTTCTTACCTCTTATCACCCCCATAATTAATGGATGTGGTATGGCAGATTTGATGTGTAAGGACTGTTCATATAAGGCCTATCATAAACAAGGTTTTAAATAATAAGACATTTAATCATAAGGTTAAAAGCAGACATGAAATATGTAACAATTTTATTAGATAGAAGGTATGGTATAGTGCTTATCACTACTTTGTGGAAGACGTCTACATTTTCTTCCTTTCTTTAAGCAAGTCAGATCTTTGAGTTAGCATAATTTTCAAATTTACTTTTTAATTGAAAAGAGCAATATGCAGTTTTTAAATTTATATAATGACAGCCAAAAGCAAACCTTTAATTTTTTGTTATTTTTCTGTGCTGTATACATCTGGATCTCTAACGCATAGATCTCAAGTAATTGAGTGCCTTTCTTCAGATCATCCTCTCCCTCATCTGTCTGTTACAGAAGACAAGAAGAAATGTCATACCATAAACAACAATTATACATAAATAATGTACCTGTGTCACAAAAAAAAAAAAAAAAAAAAGATACCCGTGCTACTGCTCAGGAAAACATAAAGATGCACTGATGAGATATTCAGTGTTTTTAATCAACTGCACCAAAACAGAACAAGAAATACTAGGAATCACATTCCCTTAAATTGATTAGAATGGAGATCATCCAAGATGGCCTAAAACAAGGCTGTCAACACTATGGGACATCATACAGGACTAGCAATTTTATGAGAATACCTGTGAGGAAAAGGGTAAAACACTATGCACCAGGAATGCCCATTCAGAAAGAAATACAAAAGTGGCATGTAAAATAATGTTAAATTGTGCTGTTGTACAATAGCCTCTTTTGTAGGTTGCATGCATTTGATAGTCTGCCATTAATTCAGACCCTACTCTCCTCCAATCTCTGCAAGACTTTACCTCTAAGTTGCAAGACTTTGGGCTACCTCAGATGATCCACATTGAAAATCCCTACCTGACATGACTGATGTAACTGCTTCAAAATTTTCTGCAATTTTCCATACTCTTCTCTGTCAAAATATAGTTTGCCAAGTTTTGTGTTTGTCTTAAACCACAGTCTGTCATTTTTAGCTTCTTTTAGAGCATCTAGAGTTGTTTCATAAAAGTTTTGTAGTAATTCCATCTGAAATCATATAAAGAAATTTTACTTAAACTGCAAGTCCACAAGCTGCAAAGAATCAGCAACATTACTAAATCATCCAGTAAATGTAAGGTCTCTTCAAGACAAATAATTCAATCGAAACACACCAAACTAAACAAATAAATAAATAAATAAGTAGTAAATACTTCAGAATAATTCCTATGCATGGCCCCTCATGGTCAACACAATGGGTTTAAACATACATCTGCTTCCTCATAATGAAATGCTTTACTTACCTGTTTAGATGTGGAAATATAGTCTAATATTGAATTAATAGACTTTTCTGAGTAATTCCTTGTGACTGCTGACTTGATATATAAAAGTAACTGTTTGTATCTGTTCATCATCTCTGGAAAATTACCCTAGGGAAATAAAAAATTTAACTAAAATCCATTTCCTCTAACCCAATCTACTATCTGATAACAGGATGAAAAATACGATCAATATTTTACTTGTAAAGGCTAATTCTGACAATCAGCAGGCCAATTATATCCATCATCAAATATGTCTCATCATAACCTTATAGTAATCAACAACTTTGTGATATTCAAATATTTCAAATCAATGTTCAATGCCTTACCAATTTGAAATTGATTTTGATCATCTGTTTAAGTGCCTTGAATCCCCATTCTCCCTTTTCTTTGCCTTCTAATTCCAGCACCTAAATACAAAAGTAAATAGATATGCTATTCTGATACCTAACTTGATGATAAAAAAGAACAGTGATGGCTTTAATGCACATAAATCTTGCAAAACCTGTTTGACACTAATCCGTGGAGTTACATGGAAATCACTATATACCTTCTGGAAACTTTCTAATGCAGCTTGAGGATCATCTTCCTTTAGTGCTTTCGAGTTGTAGTACTGATTTTCTAGATCAACATCTGGTTCAGAATTGCTATCTTCTGAATATTCCTAAATCAGAAAAAAAAGAAATATTATGATCCACCACTGTCAAACCGCCACTTCTCAGTAACAACATTCAAGACACTGCAGGCAGGTCTAAAATCCAGACTTTAAGTCGCAGGTTTGTATGGCAGTCATATCCATGCAAATATCGCTGTGGTCTTTACGAGCCAATTTATGAAATTGTCAACTAAATAATGCAACTGATTATATACTGCTCTCTGGGTACTGATGCATTGTACTTATGTTATGGATTTGAACAGACTTCATCCACTGCAAGGATGACATGCCGGTACCGGAACAGGGTGTATTTCTCCGAAAATATATGACAGTGCCCCTTGAAACTAAACAAGCACACTCTAAATGCAAAACCATACAATTGTCAATTAGTTCAAATGAGTGTTTCTTATTCTCACCAAATCATACTCCTCCTCATCGTCGCACATAAAATCGTCCTCGTCCGACATCTTGCTTGATTTGACCGTAGTGCGCATGTATCATATTCGTGACGTCAGAGTAAACTTCCAAGATGGTGAGTAGCATTTCATGGGCGGGAGGAAGACGAGTGGAAATTTTGTTGACAGTTGACATTCGTGTTGAGCGTATTAAAAATTCAGCAAGTCGGATAAAGTGCTTTCTGTGTAATTGTGAGAATGTCGTATACCGGCGTTACTGTACATTTCAGGCCGAGTTCTTGAAGGGGCTACCATCCCATAATGAACACAACTTCACAAAATTCCACGCAGATGCCAGCTGTAAAAGTACAGTAAGTTCTTCCAAAAAGTAACGCGATATCAGCTTTGTAGTGCGCTAAGTCAACGCATTAAATGTGGAATGTAATAAACTGTGTGTAAATCCAATTCGATAACGTATCAGTGCGAGTGGTGAGACATCAATTAAACACGTCGTTTCTTTCATACTTCACACAACCACGGGGTACATGGTCGGCATCCCAATTACCTATGCGGCTCTTTAAAGTTATAACATTGCTTATAATTTATTGTTGGCCTTTACGAGTCAATTTATGAAATTGACCCAGTTTGAAACCCAGTTTGTAAGTCAGCAAGGTTGATGGATTGTGTTTGTCAAGTGGTCAGATCCCAACTTGATCTCTGTGTAAAATCATGCTGTAGCATTTTTTAATGTTTTATTTCATTTTTTATTTATACTGATATTTACTCTAAAGTTGGTAGATTATTTGTGCAAATGCCTTAAATTCCATTAATATTGCCTGGTTGCTAATAACTGTATATATAGATCAAGAAATATCACTCAATTGCAAATTTCAGTGAATTTGAAATTTCCTACATGCCTCACACATTCATTGATATTGTCTTTTGTGTGGTTATAAGCAACTAATTACACATTCTAGTGATACATGTTAAATTTTGGATTCAGATGTAATGAAACTGTTTTTTTTAGATACGAAAACCTGCTGTATATATCTGTACAAAAGATCATCCATCTGAACAAGGTAAGTAATGGAGTTCCTGATTTTATATCTCATTAAGGGTGTGTGGATAAGGCAAATGAAGTTTCAAGCTTGTTGAAAGCAATCTGCCTCATAATTATCACTTCATCGATTATTTGAAAATTATTGCAATTACAAGAAAGTGTTAATTTTAGGATTTCATTTGGTTAAGGAGACAAAGTGCAATTAACTCAAGTCTTTCTGCTAGAGATACACACTTTTTGTTAAATCCTTTATCAAGATGTAGATTCAATAAAGAGTAAATTGCTGGACCATTAGTATTAATTAGTCCAGTAATTTTGGCACAAATGTACACAATGAACTGTATTGTTTGTTTAATGTTGTGAAGGGATGAATAATGATTTTAATGTATTGTCTGTGCTTCATTGCAGTGATAACAACAGAAAAGACCAATATATTACTACGGTACTTGCACCAACAATGGGATAAAAAGGTAAGAATGCATTGGACAGCAATATAAAAGTACTATTAAAGATACATATAAAGCCAGCGTGGATTCCCAGTAACCCATATAAACCACTTTTACTAGTTTCTTATATGATTAAAATTAAGTCGATGTGCCAAGTCATAATCCAAATTAATCTCTCATTCAGCCAAAAAAAATAGCTTTAAAACTGCACCTTCTTCAAATCTTTGGTCATAAATTGACCTATTTATCTCCCCCCCCCCCCCTGCACAGCCTATTGCATACATATTCATATTAGACTGCTGAGGAATATTTATAGCACAGAAAGAAAGAAAAAATCTGTTTAAATACAAATTTTCGTGAAAATGAAATTATGTCCTTTAGTGATTCTATAAGTTATACTATTTGAAACTATTAGGTAGCATTTAGTCAGGTTTTGTGGCAAAAAATTGACTGAAAGTGCATCTTTAAGCTAAATCTTGCGTGTACAGTATGAATTGGTTTTAATTTGAAACTGAGACCTTTAATATTCACACATTAAATGCTTTATAACTGAAAGGTTAGTGGTATTTTCTCCCATTATATTTCTTGTTATTTTACACTTATGTGGATAACATTAAATTCTTTAATTTATTTTTTTTAACAGAACACAAGTAAAAAGAGGGACTATCAGCGAGCAGAGTTAGGAGCATCTGAAGCTAGTCCATCAAATAAAATGGCAAGAAGAGAAAGTGGGGATTCCAGATGAAGGATGGACAAAAGCACTGAAATCATTCTCATTTTACATCGTAATACACTTCATATAGTTCATCTCTGTCATGTTGTGACTTATGTTCTCAGTTTGTATTTTGTTGGAATGATAGTAAACATCAGCGATCTTGTGCCACAACTATGTGCAAATCTTTGTGCAATACAGAGCAGAGTCGTTGAAGCAGCATAGTTCCATAAAGAAAGCTGGGTATACCAGTGTGTAGACTGATTTCTATGATTGTCCTGTTGCCCAGATTTTTCAGCTATGGCATGCTCTTCACCAAAGAAGATACTTCCAACAAAAAAGCACCAGTTAAACATGCAGCATTGACAAATTCACTGGTGCGAATGTGGATTAATGCAGTCGTCTAACATACTCCATCAAGCACTTGTGAATACTTTATTTACACAAGGGTAACATCATAAAAAGAAAAAAGATTTGCCTATTGGAGGAATTTTTTTTGAACTTGAATGGTGGTGCCATTCCCTCAAAATGTTTATTGTATAACATACAGCATTGCCATTTTAGCTCCCACAGGAGCTTTGGAAAACCTCTCACTGCCTGTTCATGTTACAAACTTGATAATAAGACATTTTGACAAGGGGATGACTCAGAAGCCTCTCATGGACTTATAGTTTTTTTTAAACAGCAATCTTATAGCAACTGTTCAAGAAGCATCAAAAGAGGAAACATCTCACTGCTGAAGGTTTTGTGTGTGATTTATTGTACATGCACTGATTTAAGAAAATGTCAAATTTTTCAGTGCATTGACACATATGCACAGCTGAATTGATGCAGTATTTTTTTCAACATTAGAACTTGTTAAAGGTAAAGTAATGTGACAAACTGAACTCTAATAGTTTTGATTTCCTCATTTCTTCCTTGGTATCCTCATAAATCCACAAGTCACTGAATAATATTTTATTCAGAAAGGGACTAGCTATACTTCAATCTTGATTTATCTATATCTGAAGTAATACCAAGGACGTAATGGGAAAAGTTTGCCTCACACATGGTGTTTTTTGATATTGCAGTGACTATGATCAATTGCTCCTACAAACGCTGGTTTTTTAGACCACGTGACAACAGCTTCAATATGGAATTGCCAATGACTGTTTACTCCCAGTGAGGCTGCATTATGTTAACTCCATGTAAAGGTTGCTCATCTAATAGCTTCTTATGGATTTTTGTCTTACAAAGTAGAGCAGTTTATTTCATGCCTCTTCTGGAAAACTTTATTTATTTTACCATGTTTTCATTCAAGTCATCAGTGTTGAATTATGTTTCAAATGGTGCCAATCTTGGCACTTTTTATTCATGTTTCTATGTTGGAATGATGTTATATGCAGGGCCAATATTGGACCTAGGTCAAGTACAGCAAGCTCAGATGTACAGTGTAGAAACTGTAAATAAAATCTATGTAAATGAACCGTTTCTATTTTCTTTGACCTGCAGTGTCAGCACTTTTAATTAATGGTATGGATGGGCCACAAAAACATCCAATTTAGTTTTTTTTTTTTTTTTTTTTTTTTTTTTTGCTTGCATGTAATTTTATGAACTAGGCAGAGATATTTCTCAGCACAACATGGGCAAAAAATATCATTTTGTGAAGAAATACTGCACAGCAAAAGGGGTTTCTGTTGTAATAAAATATCCCCCAGTTACATAAGTGGTAGTAAGAAATATCTTCTCTTTCAAGTATTGAAATTTTGAATTTTTGCTCACATTCTCTAAACTCAATGCTGGTGTTACTTTTAAACTGGTTTGGTGTCATCCATAAAAAACGGCACAAGTGTATATTGAAAGCTTGAATTAAATCTGTACATTTACTGGTAGTCAAGTCTTTTTTTTTTTAAATCTGTCATGAGAGTCCTCATTGGTTTTGTGTGATTCCTTAAAGTCCAAGAAAAAAAGACAAGCCAAGATATTTTGGATGCATTTGTTTCCCTGCAACCATAGAACAATGGGTTACAATGGTCAAGTCATGAAGTTTCTCAGGCATGGTTGACCATGGCAGTGGCAGCGTCAGTTAGATTGTTGCATGGTTTGCTCATGTTTATAATATGACACATACACAAATTTTTTACATTAGCTATCCAGTATTCATAGTTGAGGTAGTATCAAAATACCCCCACCCCCAATTTTTTTTTGCATGGTTTGAAGGTTGCCATTCAGCTAACAGCTCTGACATGGGGCAAAGAAATACTAGTTGGGATGTGTATTTACATTTTTTCTTTCGAATCATCATTTTCACAGAACCTGCAACGTCATATATTTACACTTCTTGCTTGGAGTGGGGTCTGGGATATCATTCTTTTCGATTAGCCATTTAAATCTTCTTTTGCAAATCAACCAAAACTGGTGGGTAATTTAATTTCAACCAACAAAAACAAAATTATTTTCTTTCAATGAAATAGTTTATTATGGTACAGTCTTGTTTTTTCACAAAAAGTTCAGCCTACTGCTTGGCCAAAGCTTGGCTTGGTTGGCCTTGAGACTTCTGTCTGGGTTTTGCAGTTGTGCCCTCACGGAAACCATTTCTGAAATAATAAAAAGCATTTTTGCAGCTTATGACACCATAGATATATCAACGCCTCACTTTCTTCAATTATAACAACTCATTTTAGGTCATATAATCAGTGGTATTAAATGTTAACATTATTTACCTCATGGACAGAAACACAGGTGACATGATATTGAATTTTCAACTGCTTCACATACATATTTAGTCTGGACTTTAACATGGACCTACCAGCAGATATACTGAACATTGGATCAAATCTAATATTAAAATTTTACCTGAATTTTCTGTAGATTATCTTGAGATGCCTCTGTCTACCAGTACCAGTAGTCTTCCTTCTCTTGGCCTTTACACTCCAGTTAACTGAAATACACATAACAGCCACACAATAAATATGTCTGATATCAATTCAGTAATACGTGAATTAAGAGAAACTGGAAACAGGCCATATTAAGTAAAGGGCAAGTTGGACTTTGGTGCACTTAAGGGAAGTCCTTTATTATTATTACATGGGTGAAAGGTGTAAAAACTGAAAATCCTGAAAACAAAACTTGCAATTTTTCATTGCATTTGGACCATATGAAAAAATGATCAAAAAAGACTGAAAATCCTGATATCAGGCATACTCCTAAAGAATTTGACCCGTGTTGTTGTCGTTGTTGTTATTATTATCTTGTATCACTCAAAACAATTTTTATAGCAGAGATGCACAGATGACAGATCCACAATTAAATTCAACACAACTACTTTATTGTTCTCGCATTAATAACTCCCCACTACACATTGAGCACTGTGATAACATATTACATGTATTATATAGCACAGGCATATTGAAATGATCAACATTCATCTTAAATTTTCTCCTAAAGATGTCATTCCCAGTTGACAACTAGCCTAAATTAATTACCAAAACAGATTGGTGAAATATACTTACATTTCCTGATTTTTGCTGCAGGATAACCACATTGTGCACATGTTTTCTTCTGAATGTGGTAGGAGCTACGACCACAACGGCGGCACAACGTGTGAGATTTGTTGTGCCGCTTTCCAAAGCTTGATGTCCCCTTGGTCTGCAAGGATAAACATTAGTTATGTCTTCAATAAGCTTGACAGACAACAAAGACATCTAAATTATATAAAATAGCTTCAATTGGGGAATCTTAAAATATCCATAGATACATTATAAACACATTGTTGTCAATATAATCCTGAACTACTTCATTCTGAAACTAGTGAGGTATAACTGCTATACCACCAATATCAAAGCTGTCGCCATTTATGAAATTATGAGATCACTCTCAATATTTTGTACATTAAAGTTTGTAGACTCTGGAAGAGCCATACGCCATGTCCCGGTTTCAGTATTTTACTATCATATAATCTCCAACACCTATGCATTAGTGGCATTCAAACTCTAACAGTGACAAGTCGGAGTGGAGGGGGAGGGACTGTAGAAATACCAAGAAGAGAATTGTTTGGTAGTAACCTACTCAGACAAGGAATCATCAGAATTAAACAAGTGTGGGGTGAACTTAAGGAATATACAATATACATTCTCACTGGTCTTACTAATAGTAAGAAATCAAGGGAATCTAAATCTGAAGTGAAGGCCAAGTTATATCGCGGTTATATTCTGTCAGCGCTAAATCCATATAAACCGACAAATACATTTCACAAAAGCTCTAATACGGGAAATACTGCAATAGCCACCCTTTAACAAACAACTGTGTTTGCATATTCTCTGACGAGAGGGACTAGAAATAGGACCAATTCTTTAAGGAAAGGACAAGGATAGAATCGTCCATGTCGCATTGACAATTTCCAGTCCTATTCAAGTATATTCAGTTTCAGAATGGATTTTCTCGGAAGAAAGATATGTGCATGTACTAGGAAAATACTCCAAAAAGTATATGATCGTTTTTTTAATGTAGATTAAATGGATTTCGGAGGGCTTTGCCACTACACCTACCATCTTGCTTTTTAGACAACACGGAAAGAGGTCAAGGTCGTAACATGGACATCCGACATGCGCGATAATTCCGGAAGTGGCGTGCATTTGTTTACATGGAGCAGCCACGCTGGAAGTGACACGTACTGTCAAATGACATGTGATTAGTCACAATTCTATATAGACACGCAGTTCAGTGAATCCCACATTTTTAAACACCGCACTTAGAGGGGAAACATCGCGGACCAAAACTTTATTTGCTTCTGTGGGAACTTAAGGTAAAGTTTCAGTCGAAGTTGGTTTTATTCTTAACCATGGCTGATGTTTATGTTCCAATGCCTCCCTGCCAAATGGGGAAGTCATATCAAGAGTGCTCGCGGCCGGTGATGGCCCAGCCAAGTAGAAACCAAAGCGTTTCGTTTAGGGCCGATCTAGGCTCTAAAGAAGACGCTTTACCATCATTTGCAAAACTATTAGACATTTACAAATTGAATCAAAAAGGCAACTTGTTTTTTGCCGGTGGAATACAGCAATTCTTAATTCATCGCCAAAGGGAAAACAAAAACACAACAGTAGAGATTGAAGAACTTGCTGACTATATGGCTGGGAATGCATCTACTTCTTTCAGTGATCTACCTGTAAGTACGGGGCTATATGCTATACATCTTTTTAGTAATAGCCCAAGTCTCCCTTCATGTTTTTCTCCCAAACTACACGTACGACGCTCTATTGACAACTGACAGGTGTAAGCAATACCTTAGGGCAGTGGAAAGATAGTGGCCGTAGCTTGATTTTGATTAAAACTGTTAAAAGTATCTTTTGAAGGCATTTTCTAGCCTTTGGCAATTTCTGTGAATCTTTGGCATGTGTGACCAGGTATCATATCTTGTCAGTAGCACTACAATGTACAGTACATCAGACAGCAGGATTTGTTGGCCCAGTGGAAATGTCCTTAGCTGCCAAACACGGGGAGTGGATTCAATTCCCTCTCAGTCCCTTTTTTTTTTCAAATTATTATTATTATTAATGGGTATCAACTAGTATACAGTAATTACCGCAATAACACAAATTGCTTGAGTTAGTTACTTAATTAGCACTCCATCTGTCTTTGACATATACTGAGACAAAAAAAAAGAGGGATGACACATTAATTTTTATATAAGTTCTGCACATACCGGTAGTTTTATCTATTATTTAAAATTCAGATCAATGAAATCATGCTGTAATAAATAGTTGCACTAGTAACATATGGAAACATTTGCACCCAATGTTTTTCCAATGTTTATGCATTCGCTCTTATGTATGTATCTACTAGCACCACAGTAAACTGTTAAATTCTTGTTTAAAGTTGCTGTACATATGAGATAAAAGAAAAATGTATCATCATTGTGTTTTGTCAGTGGATCTGTTTAATTTTTATTTTCATTATTTATTATAAATATTTTATTATTTTTATTTACAGGCCAATGTAAAGCTACATATCTTTTCACTTCTAAGTGCACAAGATCTGTGTCGGGTGAGCAGAGTATGTAAAGACTGGAAAGAGCTTTCTTCAGACAACATTCTTTGGGATCAAAAGTTAAAATTGCACTCGAAAAAATGGGAGGTTATTGGCCACACCACAAACCCAGCTATGTATAAAGAAGTGCAGTCTGACTGGTCTAATAAGGAAATGTAAGTCAGCTCAGAAGTTTATATTTTATCACTGTAGGTGAATTCAGTGTAGAATTACATGTAATTCAAGGTCATGTGCTTAGTGTATTCTTTATCTATATGCGACTGTTTAACTAAAAACTATGCAGATACATGTATTCTCATTTTCTAGTATACTAATAGTAAAAGTGCACACGGTAATATAAAATTCTTAATTCTATGCTCTCCTTATTTCAAAAGAAATCTTCTACATTTCAGCTACCTGAGATGTTCTCCTGAAGTAAATAGACTACGAAGACGCATGAATGTTACTTTTCACAATTTGTCAAGTTGGCTGCGATATTTGATGCCAAGCAGGAAGCCTCCTATGGTAGCCATGTTTGGGCCAGGTTTGGAATCAAGCACCAGTAAAATTGTTAGGAGGATTATTCAAGACAAGGCCACACCATTTAAAGTGACAGGGATGTTTCCTGGACACGTGGAAGGAGGTAAATCATATTTTATTATTGATATTTTTATGTTGGTGAATGAACTCATTTTTAAATTATTTCAATAAAATGTTTACTTTATTTTGAGAAAAAAATATTACAATTTCAGCATTTTTTTTTCTTAAGTTTATATATGTGATAAGGGTATTGTTTCGATAGGTGCATTTAATTCGGTTTTTGCAAAAAAATTTTTTCTTATTTCAGGTTATGGCTCAGGAGTAACTGTGAATCTAAAGAAACTCTTTTTCAACTTGACAATTTTATACACAAACACCAAAAATGAAAGAGAAAACAAAAATGCAGAACAAAGACTCAGAAATAACAGACTGCTACAGAAACAGGTGGCTGATGCAGAAAATGGAGAGGAGACATTTGAACTTTGCCAAAGCGTCAAAGAACTGTGCAGGACTGTAGATGCTTTCATTTTTGTAGTCGACAGTTCAAAGGAAAATACTGCTTGTAAGTGACATTTACTTAATTACAAGTGAAAGCCTGGGAGCTTTATTGTTTGGTATACATAATTTTTATATCTGTTTCCGTTTCCACTATACATCTTTAAAATCTGTTTCATTTTTAGTACAAGATGAAAGGCAAGATTAGATTTGCATATTCATAATAAAATGGAAAAGAAGATGCATGGAGTTAATTAATTCTTTTATAATACATATGGTAATTTGGGTAAAGCATAAAGGAAGACAATTTTTTTTATCAATTAAAAATAGATGTGACCATTGAATCAATTATTTCAGTGGGTCAGAGCAAGGCAGAACTATTTGCAATGGTCAATGAGAGGTGGTCATCCCCAGACATTCCAGTGGTAATTTTATCCTGTGTGAAAAACACAACCATTCCAAGGCAGCCATGTATTGATGTGGTCAACCAGTTGGATCTTGGGAGACTGTCCAAGCCATGGCAGGTGAGGATAATGCTGGATTTAAATGTTGAAGCAATTTTTTTTCTTTTTTTTTTTTTTGTAAAACATGTAACTTTCACTATTTTGAAATTTTGCATTACATGCAATTCTTTGGAATTTGAATTTTGGTTTTACTTATTTTAAGTCCAAAATGATAATGTAAACGATAGTAATGAAACCATAAAATGGATGAAAATAGCACTATTTAAAGTAAAAGCAAAAGATGTCCAATGAGTTACAGAATTAATAAAGGTATGCTTGTCTGTTTTTAGGTATTTGACTGTGATGTAGAGACGCTTGGAGGTGTTACAGACGGTATAGAGTGGCTAGTAGAACAAACCCACAGGTTATAATCTCATGCAGTAACTGGATTTCTTCATTAGATGGAGTGGGGGTCCAGAGCTTGAAATAGTTTTTCATAATGATTAGATACAAGGTTAAATTCTTCAAGCCTTTTTATTCCTGTTCTGCAACTGCATGTTCTGTGTGGCATTCGGAAAAGAATCGACTTTACACAAAATGATTAAACTGCGTACTTCATTTGCATTTGTCATCTGTGAATTACTTAACTAGATTCTGCAATTTTTAAGTATATAAGAAAGTGTATTTTTGTGACTTTTGGTGCTGGAAAAAGAACAACAATACTCCTTATAATATACAGCTTCAGTGTGCAGCAACTTAAGGGGTGAATTGTCAGATTAATTTTTTAACTTAAGCACAAACTGTTTTGCTTACGAAGAGTATATCTCTTTATAATCAAATGTGTTTGAAAAAGCAATATTGTGATAAAATATGCTCTTTATTTTTTGCATTATTAAATTCCATTTAAAAAGTAATAACTTGTTGCATTATTTTATCAGTTTTTTACAGAAATTACCTTTCTCTTGAGAAGGGCAATCAAAATATTAAAAAACGTTAATAAATATATGTAATTTTATAGGTTTGATTGACAAATATATTCAATGCAATTTATTTACAGTAGTAATGGCACATGTACAGACTCCTGTTAGCATGAAAAAAAAAAAACATTAAGAAAGAAGTTATATATTTACACAGATAAAATTCCCCCAGGGCTGGTAGATTTGTGGGGAGTTGTGTTAAATTGCAACATGTCAGAACTTTTCATTCAATTGGCTTCAATACATGAAATTGTGCTAACATGTCCCTCTTGTGAACATGTGAAAGATCAGACACAAGTGAGAAATTGAGGGGTACATAATTCATACATCTACAAAATAAGTGCTTAACTAAATATCTTAATTTAATATTTTCTCACAAAATTGTTTTGATTCAATTACACTCAGCATTATGAAAGTTATAAAAGAAGTCCATGCGACATATTTAACAAAAGGTACAACCACTTAAAAATAAACATGCAATTCCAAACAATACTTTTGTTTCGCATGAAACTTCAGTTTTGTCTGCCTCTGCACGTATGGTAATTAATTTTCATGATTTTGTTAGTCAAACTTCAAACTAACAAAACTGACCCAATGATCTACATGTACCATCTCAAACCACTTTTGTCTATGAATATCCATGTGGAGATGATCTCATTTTTATATCAGCTGCCATTCATTTAACAAAAAACCTTGAGTTATCCTTGAGTTATCTATAGATGGGATTTTTAATCTGCTTTGATGGAAAAGTACATTTGGTCTTTAATCTTTTTCCTATCAGGATTAAGTTTTTTAAGTATTTGTGTTAAAGTAGTCACTAGTTGCTCATTAGTGAGTCCTGTTTTCTTAGACTTGAATTTTTGTGTCAAGTCTCTGGCAGTCATTGGTTTTCTCTGGAGGTATCGTTTTACAGCATCCTCTGTTATTCCCTCAGAGCTACTGCAATGAAAATGAACAAATATCATTAACCTGGGTTTATTGTCATGGGTTTACAAAATCAGATACACTAAAAGACATTATATTTCTAGTTGATCAAAGTATTAGATTTCTGCTTCATTCACGACAACTACTAGCTACGCCAACTGAAGTTTTCAGATATTTCTGTAAAATTTCTGAGCATTGCTTATTTATTATTATTATTTATTTATTTTTATTTTTATTATTATTTTTAAGTTATGCAGCTGTATAACTAGTTAATGTTTTATCTTAAAGCAGTGACTATCACCATAGTTAGCTGCATTTCCATACCTTATAGTCACTAGAGAAGTACCACTAGTGGAGGCTGCTGATGTGGCACTACTGGATGCCGATGCAGTGATTGGGCTGCTTGTCCTTACTCTCTTAGCCAAGGGACTCTCTGTTTCTGCTTTTCTTTTAACAGCTGCAACACAGAGAGTTTATGTTATATTACTCAGCAATTATTAACAAAACAGTTTATGAATCGAAGTCTTTCATTTCCGTTGAGCAATTGCAATTTACATAATACACCAGGAAGTGTACCTAGCCCATACCTTTATCTTCAGTCTTCTTTTCACCTGGAATGGGCGTGTTGGATCTACTGTTGTTTCTGCTGTTAGGTTCTGAACCTGTAGATCCTCTCCGACTGGATGGCTTCTTCTTTTTCTGAAATTACATGTGTGCATGCTTTTTACACAAGTTTCTTAAATGAGCTGAAAAACTTATGATGTAATCAATGTAATCATGTAATCAATAATGTAAAAGAGCAACCTGAAATCTGTTAGTGTAATGTGTTACAAAAATATACACTCACTAGCATTTTACTTATTATTAATGGGAAACTATAGTTATTAAAAAGAAAAATTTGCAGATTTATTGAGAAATGAAAAATACAATATCGCTTTTAATTTCTTGGAGTTATCTAATAACCCATCATTGTTTACCTGCTGCATAAATAAAGCTGACGCAAAACCTCCATCTTCCTCTGGGTCTTCATCTGAACTGTCAGAGCTGCTACTGCTACTGTCCTGTTTCTCTACAAATATTAAGTATAACAGAGTTGAAATGTATTTTTTTTAACTTATCATACCGAAGCAAATATATACACACAGTTATGTCCCAATACCATCCAAAATTTCCATAAAATGAGTAAAATTTTGGATTCACTGACCTTTCTTGGCCCCTTTTGAACTTCCAGCATCCTCATCTTCTTTATCTTTCTCTTGCTCCTGTGTCTCTTCTTCACTCTCTCCTGATTCATTCAGGTCTCTTAAACCTTCCTCATCTACAACACCTTTTTCATCATATCGTTTTTCATTCCTTTTGTCTGTAAATTCCTCGTCACTAGAAAAGATACAGAATTACCATGGGTTAAAATATTATTACTTTATTACCAAGATCTTTGACAAGGCATGCCATGTTCTATTTCATGTCACAAATGTAACATATGGATAATTATGTTAAACACAATGGTTGATATGGATAATTGATATTCTAACAGAGACTAATGATTCTCTTGCTATGAGGAATTGACCTTTAAATAATTGAGTATAAAATACACTGCTTTTGTATTGTGTAGTACCAAAGAAAACTTGATTACTGCAAATATCCCATATCACAGAGAAACATATTATTCCGGAAGTTTTGTTTACCTTGAAGATTCAGAATCCGTAATGTAATCCACTTCTTTATCATCATAGTCACCATCATCACTGTCCTCTTTTCCTTCTTCATCACCCTCATCATCATCATCCTTTTTCTTTTTGGATTTCTTTCCCTTTCCTTTCTTCTTTGGGATACCTTCTAAAAAAAGGCATATTCACTTTGTATATCTAACCATTAATATAATACTGAACTTAATCAGCATTGTGACTGCATCCTTCTCTAACTCCCCTGATATTTTTTAAACATTTAACAATATGCACTTATAATTCAATTTGCAATATTCCTTTACACAAAATAAGTAATGCAAAATAACATAAAATGATTCTATACCTTCATCTTTTTCTTTATTTCCATCTTCATCCTCATCATCATCCTCATCATTATCGTCTTCATCTGAATTCACCCAATCTTCCATTTCAGTTAGCATCTATAGTGACAAATGGTGGAAATAAATCAGTTTTATCATACAGATTTCTTTAATACAAAAATTTTTAATATGTGTGATAAAATATTTGGGTACATGTTTTCAATTAATGCATAACCTTAATTCAAACATAATCCTACCAGGTCACTCTTTTTCTTTGTTTTCTTCTTATCTTTAATGCTTTCTCCTTCTTCAGCATCCAATGCATCATCTTCATTCTTCATTTTCTTCCGTAACATTATGGAAAACATATTCAAAGTCTTGTCTCGCCTAGTAAAACAACAAAAACTTTTTTCAACAAATAGGATAAGATTTTGAATCTTTAAGATATAAGAATAAAGGTCTTACAATGTGAAATAAGTTTCATTATAAAAATAGAACTTTATACATATAGTCATGATATTCATAATTTCATAATATGCAAATCATAACATAAGTTAACATTGGCACATCAGACACACCTATTAAATTCTTCCTCTGCCTCCTCTGAGTTTAAATATTTATAATTGATCACAGAGTTGAAGTTGTACCACTCTTCCACTGGGTATGCCTCAAATGCTAGATCTGGCCCCTGTGTAAAGACAAAATATGATGTGTTGTCATTGATCCCTCCTTCTTTGGTGCCTTTGAACCTGAAAAAAATCAATGAACACATTTAATTTTTCATATAATGTAGTTAATGGGAAATATACATGTCATCAGCTTCACTAATTCATTTTAGAAACTGTGATTGATTATATAATTAATGAAGCCAATCCACTTACTTTCTAGGCTGGTCAGTGCCTTTGTTTACTTTTAAAAGCCAGGGCTGATCTTCTGGGTTGTATTTCTTCAGCAAAATGCCATATTTTTTCCTTCGTGCTTCTTCCCTCTGCTCTCTACCGTACTCACTGCCAGCACCAAACTTAGGAAGATCTTCTAGATCATTTGCGTTCTTGTATTCCCTCAAGTTGTTTTCTCTCCCTATTTTAGCCTGAAAAAAAATTACATAAGGCAAGTTGATTTAAGTGACAAAATGCAATAGATTTTGCCTATTTATGTCACTTTGTTCAGCAGTGGCCTTTGAGACAATTAGTTTCTAGATGGAATACTATAATTTAATAATCAATGTTTGTATATATATCACTATCACCTTTGTACTGTAATCTTCATGAAGACCAAATTAACAAATGTGAATGCAAATGACATTTGTTTACAAAATGCTATCCAACATAACTTTACATTTACCTGCATGTTTTCTTGTTTTGCCTTCGAAAAATCAAGGTTACTGGAAGCATTGAAGCGCATAATACTGAACTTCTTGGTATTTTTCCTGAAAAAGTATGTTATTATTATTATTATTACCAAACTTGCAACCCAAGGGTTGGATAATTACAATCACTGCATCATAGTTGAAAAAAACATTAGTAAATAAGAATAAAGGAATATTAAAAGACATATGTAAAAAAATTTAAAACAAAATAACTAAAATGTTGCATGTCATCATCAGAGAATCATAACACAATGTAAAATATCACAATTCTTTTTATAAGAGCATTATTAACTATCAAAAGGTATACAATCTGCAATGCAAAAACATCTTTACAACAACCCGTTTTTAAATAACATTATTACTATGATTAATATATATTTATATATACAATATATTTGAAGCTACATCATTTTAAAGAAAACTCACTTTGGCACCCTCACAGAGAACTCCTGTGGTGTTGGAGTCTGTATAGAAAAAAGATTGATTAACAAATGCCATCACTTTAAATTGTAGCAATCAACATGACAATCAATGACTAAGCCATATACAGTATGTATAAAGATGATACAACCATAAGATGCAAAACTGCAATCACTGGTGTCACATTCTCAGTCACTATATTCTATGATTAACTTGATTAAAACTAAAACTCTTGAGGTAAGTACAGAGTATACTAAAAAGTGCACAGAGGGAATCAAAGACCGATACAGGTGTGACAGGAATGGTAGTCCTAGGAATGGAAGTCCGGGTCCCATATGATGAGTACAGGTTAGGGTTAGTCGTAGTATTGGGTTTAGTACATGTATATGGGACAAATGTCACCTGCACAAAGCAACTAGGAACGGAGTACGGTTCCTATCGTAGCTACCATTCCTGTTTGTGCATCACCGGCAAAATCAAGTTTGACAAATTTCAATTGAAAATCAATATCAAAACGACTCCATTATATGATTATAAAGCACAGGCTACCAAACTGAACAGCAATGTTTCTTAAGAAGTACTTACAGGCCTGGCTGCCATTGTAAGATGAAATGCGCCACTATTTTTATCAAAACTATCGTAGTGTGTCTGGTCTGATCATTTACAATGTAAAGTTGATTTGCCTGTGTGTTTTTGTTTTTACGGATTATTGGATATAAAAAGATTTCTTATTTATTTCAATACTATTGATATTTGATAAATTTATTTTAATTTAATTTATGTATGAAGCTATATTATATTGGTATTATCAATGCATGTCTACTAAAGATAAAATTTTATGTGAAACTAAATCTATTTTGTGAAAAAGCTCAGAATAGAGGTAAACATTGGTACTGCGACAATGGCCAGAAACGAAGAGAAGCAATTTGGACGACTCAATCGATTGATTTTACAGAAGGAAAAAGAAGGTGTGTGTTTACTTCATTTTAAACTGGTTTTGAGTTTTTTCATGAATATAAGCAACTGATATTTATAGACATAAAGATATGCACAATGTTTTATTTAACACGATATAAGTTGATGATACGATATACAGTACTGAATGTGATTGTGAATAATCCTCGTGCTGCGATTTAGACTGTCATGACTCATTAGTAATATAAGACCCCGTTCCCATACCTAGATCGATCTAGCAGCATCGACCTATCTCCGAGGGCTTTCTCGCTAAAGGGGCCCGCACACGGTGAGCATTCGGCGCGCGCCACTTGCGCTGCGCCAGATGCTCGCGCTCCTCAGCTCCCCGCAAACGATGCGCTCTTTGCTCAGCAGAGATGCCTCCCGGCCTGCCCCTATCGGACGCACCGCGAACTGTGGGATCATGTGATTAAGGAAACATTATATATTGTAGATTTTTCTGATAGTAATGGATAATGGTGACCACGTTAATCAATCAGACTAACTATAACTGTGTACATTTTTTTTGACTTCGGCTGGGGGCTGCCATTTTTGTTTGTTTCTGGCTACTGGCACATGCGCATTGTTAGCATGGCGTGAGCAATCGGCGCTTGCACCCCGCACACGCTGAGACATTTGCCTCAAGAGACCAAAAAAATCAAACACATGAGAAATTTTGCTCAGCCGCGCGTGAGGCAAAAATCTCACCAAAATACCCCTGCACACGATGAGAAAACGGCGCAGCGCAAGTGCACGCGCCAAATGCTCACCGTGTGCAGGCCCCTTAAATTGCTTTAATAGCGTAAGCGCCACCTGATGTCTGGCACGCCCACTGAAGCTGTTATAGGGGGTAATTAACAATCGTTTAGCATCAACAGTAGGTGTACCAGACATCTAAGCCGCTTAAGCTGAAAGTAATTTAGTGAGGAGCCCCTCAGAAATGGTTCGACAAGTGATGTTAGATTGATCTAGGTATGGGAATGGGGTCTAATACAATACATACGGTAGGTAGTCTGCATAATCTGACTCTGACACTCAAATTTTCTTTTCTTTCTGTGTTATCACATTGTTGAATGTCAATTATAGAAATTCTTTTACTCATATTTTCATTTATTTATTTATTTATTTATTTATTTATTTATTTATTTATTTATTTATTATGACGATGATTTACATTTGCTCTGGTGATAGCACAATGCACATTCCAGGTTAAAATTTACTTTTTACAGCAAGACATATCTTATTTGAGGAAATTGTATTTTACATGCTCTTTTGCAGAGCAACTAAAGAAAAACCCACCAAGACCAAGATTGGTAAGTAATACCAGTATGCTTTATTATTCCAAAAATTAGCTGAATATTTAATGACCTGGTGAGTAGCCCATGGGTTTTGCCAGCATTAATGCTGAATTTTAAAATTGATTTATGATTTAGACACAATACATGTGATTTTTAAAACCAACTAGTCTTTTTTCATATACATGTAATTGGTCCAAACTTGAAGTCATTTCATGTCCAAAATGTGTTAGTATGATTATAAAAATTAGATTGTTAATTTTAATGGAATTATATAAATTGTAATCCAATAAATTGCACATAATAACTATAACAAAATAACTATTTTGTGACAGGATACCTTGAATGCTCCAGAAGAAATCAAGAAATGGATCCCAAGCCTTCAAAAAGACATTGATTTCAATCTTAAGGTAGGTTTATACATTAATTTGTAACACTGTATGGTATAAATCTATACATCTTGAAGTTTTGTTGTTAGTTTGGTAGTTATCATTTTCCCCATTAAACAATATCTACATTTTTCTCAGTCTAATCCATTAATATGTCACCTTTAATATGAGCTTTTTTCCAATAATGGAAATTATCCCCTCTCTCATTTAGTTCAAGATGTTATACTAACCAAGGTATTTCAACCAACAGCAGTACTCAGGGTAGTGGTCTTTGTAACATTTTTTCAATTAACACATACAAACTTTTATATTGATTTCAGCAATCACAGGTCCCCTGCTACCCAGAAAGTAAAATTCAGGAATACAAAGACAATGTCAATAAATATGAGCGACTCTACAAAGCATTCCTGAAGAAACTGAAGACATTAGACCCCACTGCCAGTGAAGGTGATGCACCTTGGAATGACCGACCTTATAGTGGGAAGAAAAGGCGTCTTGAAGAGGGTATGCATTCTATTGTGCATTCAGATAATTTTTGTAGATCCAGGTTCTGTTTTATTTTTTAGGTCATTCTACAATATTCTGCCCCGTTGTTACATCATTTCTAGTATGTTAAAACTTTTTTCCATTTTTTTCAATATCATATCAACAAAAATAACAACACAATTAGCAGTGTACCTCATATAATCCCTCTTAATTTGATTTTTGATCATTAGATTTGTTAAAAAGTATTATCGAGAAAAAAGATGGAGAGGAAATTCTCTGTCCCAAGTCTTTTTTTTCCCCTTCCTCCACATGCACTTTTTGTGCCATGGAATTTACATCAGTTTGTCGTCTGATTGTTTTATTAATTCTTTGATCTTAGAAATGGTTTGTTAATTTTTAATATTTATTTACTTTTAGAAAGTGATGATGGGAAAATATCTTTAACACAAACTGCTGAAGAAGATAAATTTTCAAAGATGCAAAAGATTGAAACACCCCTACTTGATCTACCAGAAAACATGAGCATTGTCAAGGATGGGACAAATGTCATAAATTTAAATGTGGACATTGATTGTTTGGATAAACCCTTGGAATTCAACACTGTTTTCACCAAGTCAAACATTAACAAATGTTGCATTAAGAAAGCTTTTTCTAACAAGTCGGGTTCAAAACTGAAAGAAGAGGATGGACATTGCATGCATGCAGGAAAGAGTTTGACAAATGCCTCTACTTTAGAAAGTCAAAGCAGTTATGAGGATTCTAAATACAAAAGGAATAATGTAGAGGAACTTGGCATAAACGGGCAAAGTTTTGGAGATAAATTTGGCATTGTGCACTTTGATCTACATGGTCCCAGGCCACAGTCTGGTGTTTCCAAAGAATCATCTAGTGCAAAGATGAATCTTTTAGGATTAGATTATGATACTTCATCAGATTCTGACAGAGATAGTGATTTCTGACAAATAAAGTGCAAATGTTGCGTTTCATATTTGATTTTCCACTTTTTTATATAGACACTGTATGTGTTTGTATATATTCTGATGCTGATCACTGTGTTTGTCTGTGTCATCACTGTCCAAAACATACATCAGTCCCGATAACTGCTAAACTGTATTTTCTTTTTTGCCAAACTAAATATTGTTGTTATGTATTCTGCTGTTTGGTGTCAGTATACTTGCCATCTTTGCTGCCTAGTTTAAATTTGAAATTTCACATTTTAAATGTTGAAATTTAAACAATGATTTCTAATTTCTGTTAATAATTTACCTCTGTCACCACTGTGCATATGTCGAAAAGTTGCCACCTTTCAGCTGAATCTGCAATACTGTAGATTAAGATTAGATTAAGCTGAAAGTTTCATGAGGTTTTCAGCAACACTTGTTATGCAGCATTAATTATGGCATGGCATATTGGTTTTGTTGGATAAAAAAATAAATTTGACTAAGCTCGTCCTTAAAGATATTTTTGTGAACGATGCAGTTTTCCAGCAATTTATAGGTTTAATTGTGTTAGTTGTGCACTGACAGGACATCTGTTGAATTGCGTTTGTTGTTCTTTTAAGCAACATTACAGGTCGTCTCACAGCACTGGCGCAACATCTTTTCCACATATGCATTTAACCAAAATTGTTGCTTATAAATATTTGAAAAAAAAGGACCGAAAGGAAAATTTGTTTTATTTAGGATCGACCACGATATCGTAATACAAAACACATGTCTCTAAGAGTGAGCAAGAACTTGATGGATAATGCGTTCACGGTATAGGCATGTGAAGAACTTCTTATCAAGGAATCACATCAGATGTAATTTATTGGTAAAGTTATTATCTGCAGCACATTTATGTCCTAGTTTCTGAATTCGGTGTTCATTTTAAATCTTAAGATTTTAAAGTAAATTTATACTTAGATTTGACCTAAAGAAACTCAACAATATGACATAAGATAATATTTGAGACTGTTCAGAAACTGAATTTTTCCTTGACGGTTGAAAGAGTGCATGAGTGTCCCTGGCAATAGTCTGGCGGCAGTCAACACATTGATTAATATCACACAATGACTGTGCATATATTAGTCTGAAATCATCTTCGCCGCCAGCAATACTCTGTCTTGACAAGTACATTTACTGGTAGAAGTTATTAATTTCAACAACTTAAAGGAAATTATGCTTAAACATTAAACCATGCCGTTCACAACGGATTACGCTATATCAACACTCCCAGGTCTGTATTAATTACCTGGATACAGCAATTGATTTGAAACTAAAATGTCACGCCAAATTTAAAATGCTATGTCGTCTTTTTTAAGGCGCCCATTAGAGGTAGACTAAAAGGACCCAAAATATCAAATCACAGGACAAATTTCGGAACAATGTGTTTTTACAAAATTCAGACAATAAAGTTGACGCGTTGCTTCTTTATTTATATTACTAGTGTTTATCTTTTTTATTTTTTGAACAAAATTATTTTTCTTAAAGGGGAAAATGAGAGAGAAGCGTTATTTTAACATGAAACTTATCCGCGCGCCTGTGAGAATATCTCTATATCTCGCTGTTCCTCTAAAAGTGTTTTCTTCTCACCAGCCGGTTAGAATCGATGCACCAACATTGGCTTGTATTTGCTGGCGAAAGTAAATCCTCACTTAATGTTGATGTGTGTGTACAGCAAACAATCCACCTCTTCGTATTAGAGCTGATGTTTACTCGGAGAGGCATGGTCATGGCAACCGCACTTTGCTGTCATCTGGAATCTGCTTGCTCCGGTCTTTCTCTTCAGAGACTGCGGTCACGGCAATGTCTATTATCAAACGGTTCCCTGTCAATCAGATTTGGGGCCAGAGCGGAGTTTCTTGGTCTTGGTCTAGGACCCAACTTTGTAATTTGGAAATGTTTGTTTAAGTACCTCGTTTACAAAAGATTAGGGTGTGTCTGTCAAGGATTGGGCGACAATAGGCGGTCTTTTCGTCTTTGTGTTTCTGATGTAATCTTCGTGTCATATGGGAAATGAATCATAGGCTCTTGCCTATGCCGACCCCCAAAAAATTCTGGATAAAATGGAACTTTCAACGACCTGAGATGCTTTATGTCCCATTGAGGGTATATGTTCAAACAACTAAATGGTAGATTAATTTAATCTTTTCGGATGCAAATCCCTGGTCTGTCTTTTTAATTGCTTGCAAAGTATTATCTATTAATGGAGACACCCGTTTTCATTTTTTTGTCTTCCTCATGTCTTCCCATTTCAGTGGTGCTTATAAGCACATTTCCTGCCACAATACCAATATAATATAAATAATTCTTGTTATTATTATTTTGGTGTAAAATACCCTTGCTAAAAATGCTTTTTTCATGATCCTTTGAGTTTAATTGTATTTAAAAGAAAAATAGTTTCGTAAGAGTTGCAATTTTAAAAATAATTTCATATGCATATACAATCACATGTTCTTAGCTTTGGTTCTTACTTAAATCTGAAAAATAACTGGCACCCTTAAGTGGTTTGCAATATTTTTCAGTAATGGAGTGTGATAACAGATAAGAGTCTTAAAAAGTGAGAGTGCCTCCGTAATCGAAATTCTGCTTGTGCTTGTGCAATCGTTAGATGTGACAGACTATATCTATAATATATTGCTGTGAACGCACCATCGTGATAATTCTGGAGTTCAATCTTTTGTATATGAACATTAAAATATTTCGTCAGTTTTTTCCATTCCCTCCACACACTCAAATGTGAATAATCAGAAAGGATAATTTGAATAGCCCTGTTGGTAAAATGAATTGAATGTTTCATCAGAAATTGTAGGTGGGGTTAGTGAAATAAATTATATATCAAGAAACACAAGAGGCTTGGCTTGAAATGTTTAATATCACCTACTAGAAAGAGACACAGATGTCAAACAGCATTTACCGGTCGATGTGCGTAGCTTTCCTTTCCTTTTCACTGCAGTTGCGTAACAACGTCTATAACGACCCGTCCTTTCGCAATTGTGACCAATGTCAATAATCACGGTGTACCTTATTGATTTCTACAAACAGAAACCACATTTGACACCACATTTCATTTTGGACATCACGTTAACGTTGAAGTTGGCGTGTGGTGCTCATATAAGCTGAGTGGTGCATTTGTTCTCGGCGTCGTCTTGCCAGTGATATGGAAAGGCACCTTCCGGGACATGACCTTAAGGACAAGATCGACTTTCCGGCTTTCTCCCGTTTCTTCTCTGTGTAATAAATGCTTAGGTGGAAACTAACTCATATTTCAATTCAAAAAGACTACTTCAGTCACTAAAAATAGATTCAGTGCAGCGAAATATTATGGTTAGTCCACAATTATCTTTATTTTTGTAGATTTACAAACATAAAAGCATTTATCGGAAAAGATGCGCAAACTGGCTATATTGAAATAATAAAATGTTTTTTTTTAATATTTCTGCAAACTTTGATATATTTTTATCAAGTTTTTTAGACCGTGATGATCAATGACACCCCCCAAAAAAATAACAACGACAACAACAGCAACAGTAATAATAATAATAATAATAATAATAATAATAATAATAATAAAAGAAAAAACATTATTACAACCCTGTGTGCGACTTTGCGTTTGAGACCCTATCAAACAGAATACACTTTTACACATTATTTACACATATTCCGTGCTTTTTTAGATAGATTTTGTTAATACCACGTTCAACAACAGATCTGCAAATCTTGAAATCTGCAATGTCGGCAACATTGCACGTCTGTTGGTGTGTATGTAAGTTTCATTGAGTATGCGCGTCTGTGTGTTAATGTCTGTGTAAGTCTAAGACTGTGTATACTCTATGCCCTACGACCGACCCTGGTTAAACGATGCTATTGTTTTCTACATTGAAAAAGGATTTAGCCAACTTTGGCTTGTGTACATATCAACGGTAACTAGACGCTAAAAGCCCTCATTATGCACGTTCAATACTGGTTAAATATTGAAATATGTATTCGAAAGTGATGTATAAAGAGGCGGCTTGCACCGCAAATTTAGTTCATCGTTTTCACAAAGGGGAAGGGGATCAAAAGCGTCCTCTCCAGTCTTACCCGGCAGCTTCGCGTTTATTCAGCGATTTTTAACGCGGTCATGCACAAGTGAGGGGTCTATTGTATGGCGAAGAATTGTGTATCATTAGTTAATATAGTGTTATATATTTTTATTTTCGGTCATTAAGAGCTTCGATTAACTCTGAAAGAAACGACGTCATATCGTTTCGTGCCACCGATGTAACCAGAGCGAGACCATACTGAAGTGGATCAGCTGGAAGAGAAAAGTCGGTGAGTTTTTTAAAATGCACTGCTTACCTAGTAGTTTTGGCAGGCATTAACATGGAAGTCCTTTGTGATCATTTTAAATATAGGCACTGTTCATTGTTCCCACTTTAATGTTAGACAGAAGAACTGTGGCGCATGTTAATTCCGGTGGACCACACGGGCCTTCCCGTAGGGTTGTATTTTATGTATTGAACTAGGTGAGTATCTGCCTGTTTTGGTACGTAGTTAATATTTAAGTAACGTCGGTGTATAAGGTAATTTCTTTGTGATGCTTGTAACCTGAGATGCAGCACCATATTGCAAAACTAATATGTGGGAAAGAGGACATGCTTTTTACACACCTAGAAATAAGATCTCAATTTGCTTGTCTGTTTTATGAAGCTGCACTCTAGGATCGTATTCTTACTAGAGGTTAAGAGAGAGAGAGGGGAGAGGGGGAGGGGGAGAGCGAGGGAGGGAGAGATACCTTGAAGTTGTGAGAAAAAGAAAGAAGAGTGATCTTCTTCCATTTCTCTTGATTTCAGTTTCGTTTTTGCCAAGGTAATTGTCTTAGGTCAGAGCCACTAAACCTCTCCGTTTGAATAATAACGAAAGAAACTGCTCGACCAAATTAGAATTTTTCTTCTTTATATGTTTCCATGCATTACATAATATTCCATGACAGGTTATAGTTCAAAGATGAACCAACATGCCAGCTAGTAAATCGGAATAAGTCACCCGATTTGCAAATATATTGCCTTGATACGTGTACTATTTCAACTACTAAGGTTGTTTGTTCCTAACCGGTTTTTGCTATAAAGTGTAAAATATGACTTAGGTGTAATAAATTATTTTTGGGGATTGAATTTCGTATAATAGTGTATGATAATTTGTGTCATAAAATCCTCTTTTTAGTTTTCTTTTACATATTTTTGTTTTCATCTAAAACAGTAGTCGACAGAAAAATTGAATAACAAGACAAAATTCTCTATACCAATTTTTCAGTTCACCTGTATTATTGTTACGCCCCTTAGATTCGTGAGGGTTAAAGGGTTGGGTATCTTGAATATTTTTATCTCTTAACGGTGTGTGACCCTACATTTGAAATACATTAATAGAATTTCTAAAAAGTTTTTTTTTTTTTTTTTTTATATAAAAATTATTTTCAATTATCATATGTAATTAATTGCGATAATTTAAGTAAAAAAAAAGAGTTTTGGTAGGCATAAGCTTTGAACTTGCAAGGCAAAACATTGATAGATGAGAAGCGGCCTTGCATCAACCCCAACAAGGCAGACGACTGGAGGACGAGATTAAATACGAACGCAATATACAATTGGCGGGAAAAGTCGAGATGTTGGGAAACACACGAAGGCTAAATACATAAAAGGAAGGCATCATTTTAGCGTCCCAAGCTAATGGAGCAAACAGGACTTAAGAAGCTTTCCATTGGCAAATATGAAGATGAAAGCGAAGTAAACATCCCAGAATAAGCTGGGTGCAGGCAAACACGACTTTCTCTCTTGTGAGTATATTGAACGACTTGGCTAGGGTGAAACTGTCGCGGTTTGGTACCTGTTATGAGATAGGTGAGGAGTTAATTAACAATAAGTGGTCAGCAGAAGAAACGGGAAGCTTAAACTATTGTGGGTATATACTTTACTTAACATGCATTGATAATTAGCGTAACATTTTTTCTGCGTAGGTTAGGTTGAAATAGTGATGGCAGAAAATCTAAACGTTACCACTAATGATACACAAGTTCACTTTCATCACTAACGCGAAATATTTTAATGAAAATTTTGAAAATAACAAAAGCATGTGAGTGGTTCATTGAAATAAGTCCTTTTCTGGGACACGCTTGAAGAGTTATTTGGAGTTAGGTAAGAAAGGGAAAATTCTTGGAGTTAGGTAAGAAAGGGATAATTCACGCATCTTCGAAGTGGAGTACGAAGGAAAACGATAATTATTTTCTGCCTTTAAATCACATTATTGCCATTCATTTTCTTATTTTTTCTTATTTTTATTTCTTACTTTCCAAACTGTTGGCAATCATCAAATGCGTTAAGACCAATTTCATAATCTTAACCGATTTAAATTTCATTGAAAATTAAGTGAAATATTGTCGATTAAAAGGCAGTCTCAAAACCGTCTTAAGGCAGTATATACTAACATAATTAGTACAAGTCTCAAATCTTTGACAAAGGAGCATTTACAGGCTAAACGAAGATCATATCCAGAAGCATGGCAGCATGTCCAGAAACATGAATCCACACAAGGCAAGATGTTGGCATAGCTGAGTGTAATTCGCCATCAGCTGTGCTGCGGATTGCCACCTATGGGTTCGTTACTTCTTCTAACTGGGCAAGAATCAAAACGTTTTGTATCAGGAGAGACCTATCTTAGTGTGATATAAGTGAGTATGTTTCATAAAAGGTTATATGCGCATTTGCTAAATTGACGTGTTACAACGTCAACTTATTTACAATGAACATTTTAGAGAGAATGATGTGCCATATAAAGTTCTGTTCTACATGTTCAGCAATTTAAGAAACACTTTCGACGTAATTCAGAATTGAGCATTTTACACAAAAACAAAAATATCCGTTTTTTCACATTATTATACTATATGCGTTTATCGTTTTTGCTGAAGCAAATACGTATGCATTGTCTCATAAGCCCTGCGAGTCATTACAAAAAAAGCAAATATTACAGAGAAAGATATGTAGAGGCGGGAATTCTCCACCCAATAATAAAATCTTCATCTGGTTGTTAGAACAGCCGAGCAGTTTCTTAACACTGCAACAGGTGGGAGGGGACCACTCCTATGCGAAGTCACCAGACCACGCCTAAAGGCCCACACTGTGTTTACCAAAGATTAACGCGTGCTAAAGCAAGTAGACTTAGGGTTGACTTTCACTAAGGCAGTAATCCTTCTTATTTGACTTTTTGAGCAATGTTATAAACTGGGTTTTTTTAAAGTAGCATGACGTGATCCTAAAAAAAGACTCAGTTGAAATGTGAAGTGGCTATGTCTACGTGTGGATTCGACCAAACCTATGAGGCATTTCTGCCTCTCGGAACACACCACTGGCGTTTACAAGTCTCTCTCTCTCTGTTCTAACATAGGGTGTTTATGTTACATCTACGGGCTAGTCGAGTATACTATTAACTTGGCGTACATTGCAAACAACTAACAATCGAGTGCGTTAGAGAAGACTCTGCTCGCCTGGACCTCACAGCACACTTCTTATGGTGCAAGTTTCCACCTCAATTCTCTTCAAATCTCAAAAGTAAACGAGTTTTGACTGAAGTGGTTGACTGAGGAATCTAAACTCAATGGCATTAGCCATTCTTAATTTTAGAAGGCAGTGTCCCAGTTTATTTTCAGCCAGATCTGACCGATGCAACTTGGCTTTCTCTCAGGTTATTCCACTTGTCTTTAAACGATTCTGGCATCCAAACTAATGTTTTTCTACGCATTTAAATTATATAGTATGTGTCATCTTTCACTGAAAATGTTGACATTTATTTGTCCTGCTGTAATTAGAAGGCAACTACAATCACTAGAGAAAAATATTCACAAGTCACTACAAGACATTTAATATTGGAAGCATTATTATTATTAATAGATATATAGCATACATCCATACAAAGTTCCTAAATAATCAATAAGGATCATTGTAGCCTATTTCATATTTCTTATCCAGCTGCATTAGCACATCTGATTAAATCTAAATATACAAACCCCTATCACCTCTATGTCTAGCACAGTATTGCAAAAGTGTTCCATACCATCACAGTTCCACAACAAGTGCATCCCAAATTTGTCTACATCTAAGTTTAAATCTTCTCCTACAAGATGGGAAAATACAATTTATCGTGTTTACGAAGGTTCATTATAATTGTGTCACCCAAGGGCAAACAATTCCTATTGTGTGGTCTGACAACATGTAATATGAAGGCAAATACAATGTGCTGCAATGTGTAAGCACAATATTTAACCGATGATAGTATGAATAAATACACATGGAATAATGGATGAAATTCTTAAATATGTCTTACATGCAGATTTCTTCAAAACCATGTTATCTTTGTTACAGCAGTGTTAGTGAAATATTACTTTAAAATGGTTTGATTTTCTAAAATCAGTTACAGAATAACAATTATAGCCATTGGTAACATTTTAAATTCCAGTCATCAGGTTAATTAACCTTCCCTTCAAGAGACTGGCACTATGTATTTTGAAACTTTATGAACCAACTGACTTTATGAACCAAGTGAAATATTCCTAAGGCAGATAGTATCAAAAAACCTTGGATTCAGTTTCACAAGGCATTATTTATTCACACCCAATGGTATAAATACCCCCAAAGTAATTGTTGCATAATGAATATAGTATATTATGATCATATTTCAAATCACATACATATATATGTTACATATTAAAAACATACAAATTTTGCTTTTCCTCCAGGCACTTCATTGTAACCTTTGCAAAAGGCAGATGCTCAAGTGGAGTTTGCACATATTAGGATTAACTGTCTAGTATATGTTTCAAAGAAATATATCTGAAAATAGAATTATTAAAATACAAGGCCATCTTAACTGCACCATTTAGTATTGAAGACACCACTACGTCGGCAGCAGACTATATTGCATAATACCATAATAAAGTACAAACAACCGGCACCTCACAAAATTTATATGAATAAATAATTCATGATCGTTATTGCTATATATATATATAGAGAGAGAGAGTGTGTAAATATGTTAATACTTTTTGTGGAAGTTTTCTTAATAATTTTCTCAAATGTTAAATATTTATGGCAGCTTACTGTTACAATGTGTCTGGTAAAAAGCACATCTTATGCAGTCGAAAACTAGCACAGTATTGAAAATAAAAAGACTATGAACAATACATTTGTTTGTATTCATCTCTTCACGTATAAAAAGTTCATAATGTCCTGCTGTTTGATGGCTGCAGATTGGCAGTATTTAAAATGCTTATTTTTTCTACAGAACTAATTTTGGCAAACCCTGTGTCTTACATATCACAATATTCAATTAATATTATCTTCCAAGTTGCAGTAATATGACCAGTAGGAATATATAACATATTCACAATACAATAACACTGATTAAACAAGGCATATATGCTACTGCAAGTTAAACAGCAGTGTGTGCTGGTACACATGGTTCTGGTTATGAATCTTCTATACAACACCCCTCATGTTTCATTTTCCTTCGCAATATCCATGGCAGAAGCTGTGGGAGGAGCTGCATATCTGGTCGTCACCACGTAATCCTGTACTTCAACTCGCACCAGACATATTCATTTTTTACTCAAGCTGAAATAAAAAACAGGAAAAACATGTATTAGCCAGATGTGTAAATTATGTTTCTAATGGTTTATCACCTAGGATGTATCAAGTCTATCAGAAAACCAAATGATGTCCATAAAACATGCAGGTTATAGGGGCATTTAATTATGGGCAATTCTACAATTAAAATTTAAAGACGGGGAAAGGTGTAATTATTTTAAAATCTTTATAATTTGTCAATTTCTAAAAAATACCCATGCAATGCATTAAATTTATTTTGGTAGGACTCAAAACCACATCCATCACAATGCAAAATTTCACTGTAACATACATAAATATACAAGATTAAAAATACAGCACTGTAAACATGTGTTTACAGTTTCTGACAAGACCAAGGTTAGATGCCAGTTCTGGTGTCATTGATTAACACAAAATACTGAGCCCAAATTGCTTAGCCTACAAAAATGTTTTGTTGATTTTGTGTGTCAATATATTCAAAGAAACATTTGATGCAGAGGCACACAGAACAAATTTTCAAGGAAATGGGTTTGAATATGGGACATATTTTCATGCCTACTGCTTGCAGTGAAATGAGTGGCACTAACAGTTTTGTTCGTGTGATGTTGTAGTGCTGTTATTCTTGTGAGAGTCAAACTATCAGTTTCTTACAATGTATAAGCAAAAACGCATAAAAAATTAAAACAAGTTACATGAAATGTTTAAAGGCACAAGGCGAGGGGGGCTTAGGGGAAAATATTTTGTTCATATGAGTCCCTTCATTCATTTAGTGCATCAAAACAAATTTTTGAATTCCATATGATCCAAATAAATCTCTTGGAATCCTAGAATTTTAATGACTTTTTAACAATCCAATCTTAATGTTAAACATTACCTATTCGAGTCGTATAATGTTCAACAATAACAAATATCTTTCATTTAAATACATAATCAGTTCTTTGTGCCTTTAAACAAATGCTCTATTAACATTATGCCTGTGTGCTTCCCCCATTACAAATAAAAGGCCAATTTTTGCTATTTTTTTTAAGCATCACAAATCATCAAATATGTCTATAATAAATTAGTACTGTTCTCAAGGTTTGTTAAAAAGTTATTTTGTAGGATATATAAAATATCCCTTGGCACCTTTAAAGAACATGTTCTTCTAATAGCAATTGCTACAAGTGCCACACTAACATCAGGCAAAATGTTAATGACAATGCTGATGATTACTGACTGTTACTGAAATTACCTTACAGGGAGGCGAGAGGCCATGCTTCCCTCCTTATGGGAACGTGCCAAGCCCTGATAAAATATTAATAAGTAGAAGCCATTGTTAGAGCTATGTGCAAGCAATAGTTCAGATTCTCCATGCTATATTTCAAGAGAATATATATATTTGCAGGTTGATGGGATAGTACCAATGTTCTATATGGCAGCCAAACTGAAGCATATGATGGTGATGATTTGCTGTTACCAAGCTCCAAATATTCCTTTTTAGAAAAACCCTTCCAACTGATGCTGCTCTTGTTCCAGAGTAAAAAAAAAAAAGAAGCATTTTAAGGGACTGAATTGTGTTAATAAATGTAAATTGCAAAAGAGCTTAGCTTTGCTTACATGTATATATATATATATATTACAAACTGAAATGTTTCTTTTTAGTTATCTTCAGCAAAATGATTTATAACTAAGGAAAAGAGCAGAGCGGGTGTTTGGCTGCCACATAACGTTTATAAGTCAATTTATTACGATGTTAATCATTACCAGTCATTTAGTATTTGCGTTGATATGACGTGCCGAAGGTGGTCACTCTCCTACGCACTTCCTGTAATGGTGAGTTTAAATGCAAACAATTAATCAATTTGTGCAGTCTTTAAGACCATCTGTGATGAATCCACATTTTAGTGCTTTTTAGGTCATAAAAAGGTGGATCTTTACTACGATGGTATGTATACTGCACATACACTCTTTAATGGTGCCTTAGGGTGGTTGTGCTGCTACTGCTACTCTACACATCCACCTGAATAAGTTACCTGTCCCTGAAACTTTATTAATATTACATCAGAAATGAAGGATGAACCAGCATTTTTTTCTTTAGGCAGTAATGCCTTTCAAATTACAGTTTCTAAATCTCTACAGAACTCTCTACACGAGTAAGGCAAGTTATTGCTTAAAAAGAAAGAAGTTTCAGGGGAATTCAAAGACTGACAAAAATGTAAAGACTGGTATGCTTTTTGCCTGCCTGCCATAATTAAGTGTCTGTAAATTTGGGCATATACCTGTTGATAATTCTGGTTCATCTTTTTTACCTTTCCATCAAAATATATAATTGACAAATTCTACAGTTATGTGATGAAGTCAACTTATTACCATTATAATACCCTATGTTATTCAATATAATACAATAATATTCCATAAACCAAAATTTTTTAGTATTATTTTCTTTACATTTGGAAAAAAGTCCAATTAGCAAAAGTGCCCAAAATGAACCACTATTCTCAATACTGTTAAAGTAATTCACTGAAATTAATGCTACTTTTTCTACTTGTTAGTTATACCAATATACAATGAATGAAACCCAGCACAGCAACAATGAGAGGAAAAAGCTTAGGCCCCTTACTGGTGAGCTTTTGATGTTTTGTCTAGCATAAAGCAAAATCCCAATGTCCTTGTGGCCAGCCTCCATTGCTATGGAAAGAGCTGTACTTCCATCCTGAAAAGAAAGACACCACATGCACGGTACACAGCAGAAAAAAAAAACAGAGGAACAAAGCAAAACATAAAATGAAATGAATGTATATTAGATAATTTATACCAGTTAGAGTAGCAAAGACAAAGGGACTTTGAGGAAAAGGTTATCAATCCAATAAACTATTAATTTTTTTCAAAGCTGGCAGATCAGTTGTAAAGATGATGTGCAATGCATGCAAAGTACCTTGCACAAATTTTGTGTTAACTGACAAATATATTGACAAATATACTGAAATAAATGGTCACATATGGTGTCAAAGTAGGCCAAGCTGAATTTATTTGAAGGATTGCTTCATGATTCTAGGTTACAACCCCAATAAATCTTGTTACAATTAAAAAATCAAATACTTCAGCTTTATTATTAAAAGCAGCAGATGTGAGAATTATTGTATTAATTTAACAATAATAAAAAAAGAACAATTCCCAATTATAAAATACTGATCTGATAACCTTTTTCAAAGCATCCTTAAGAGTTAAAGCCAATGATGTTTAATTTTCAAGAAATAAAATACTTAAAAACATTACAAAATTGCAACAGAGTATTACTTGAAGGGAAAAGTCATCAAACAGGTAAAATATTTCAGATCACAGAGACAAAAAGATGTACTGTAAATTATTTAAAACATACTGACATCTTCTTAACTTAATGAGACAGATTACAAGGAGGAAATGTACAATTCAACCAAAGTTAAACCGTTACAAAAATAAAGGTATAGGGACATTCAGTTTAAAACTAATAACAGATAAACACAACAATCCCTACACACTAAGCACTGTAATAACCTGGTTTTGTTATGTGAGGAAAACACTATTTAAGTAATGTCAAATCACCCATGTTTGGCATTTCCAATATCCATTTGGTTAATAAAGACATGCCCTTAAAACCAGTTTATTAAAGCGCAAATATACAACATTTATAGTATACAATCACAAAAATAGTTTCTGATTACTTACATTATCAGCAAGAGAAGCATCACATTCTGCCATGGATAACAGCAACCGTACGATCTCAGAGTGGCCATGTTCGCTAGCACACATAAGGGCAGTGGAGCCATCTTCATCTTGAGCATTTACATCAGCACCAGCCTCAGCCAGCAGACGCACCATTTCCAAACGCCCGTGACTCACAGCAAGCATCAAGGCAGTCTGGCCAGCCTAGCAATATAACAGTTCATGTTACAAAATGGAAGGGAAAGGATCAGAGGCGTTCACAGATATCTTTTAGGCAAAAGTTATGTTTTATTCTTTTGGTGTATGTTGCTCTTCAACAGAAGTGTTTGAAAAGGTTATAAGACATATTTCTTCTGAGGTTTTAACATATTTTACAAATTTCTTTTATAGCAGGTTTTTTAGAATATATTACCAATACATGACAAAATAACAGCAAAATAAGCATCCCTAGATAAGTAAAATGAAACAAAGCCTGTAAAATAATAAAAAGAGCCTCAATGCCTTAGTAACCCTCTTCATCCTACCTGTGAGGCTCTGGAATTGACATCACCAGCATCAAAAAGTTGTTTCACTACATCTTTCTGTTCTTCAGTCTGTACATCTGCTAGAGAGGCAAGCATGATGGCAGTGTACCCAGCTCGGTTAGGTTTGTCCACTTCACAAAGTCCAGTGTCCAGCAACAAGCTGACCACATCCCAATTACAATGTGAAACAGAGTAGTGGAGGGCAGTGTTACCCTATAAATAGTAAATATTTTTTTATAAATCAAATGACAACAAAATCAACCAAAAGCATGGTCATAAGCTGCAGAATATAAAGTACTTTTACATAGAATCACATACTAGTCATTTGTGTCTTTGTCAAAGCCATTTTTTCTCTGCGGACTTGTTGATTCTATATCAATATCAAACCCAGCAATTACCACTCTGAATCCTTTAAGACAAATAATAAGTAACATTATAACATATCTGTTTTTACAGATTCAAAATAACCTAGTCATCACAGCAACAGAACATAGTAATTCGCACAGTATAAAGAACATAACAGGTCAACTTACATTAGTATCTGTCATATTCACTATTCTTTCCAGAAGTTCTTTGGAGTATTCATTAAAGCAGGAGAGGAAATCTTCCACCATGTACGGGCTGGACAATTTTTGGCCAGCAGCTTTGAACCATTCTTGTTGAATAATGGTTGCAGCAGCAGTCTAGAAGAAGATATACACAGCATACAGAGAGCCCATTAAAAATGATACCAACAAATCAAATTAATGACTAAAACTTTTCACTGTTACAGCCTGTACTGAAAAGATTCCAGCTTGCCATGTGAACCATACAGTGAGAATTAATCTGAACCTTCTCACTGCTTGAGATAAGAAAAACTGTTTACAGAGGTACTTTTTCCATTGCTTTATATGTTCTCATTATACAAATGGCAAAGGTACCTATATGGCAAAGGTAAGTTGCTACTACTGCTCTTACCACTTGCTCTGTTGGTATAGTGTTTGGGTCCTCCAAATGTCGCGAAAGTAACTCACAGGAAGCCTGCATCTCTTCAGATAATTCATAGCTGCAATAATAAAATTAAAGAAATTAAGAAATTTACTAAAAGGCCAAATAGGCAACCAAAACATTGATTGTAAAATACCTGACAAAATCTGATGATTTTTATATGATCACTTGTACTGCAGTATTCCAGGCATACAGTGATAAACTGCTCATCATGTTATGAAAAACGAATGTATTTTTGTCACCAGCTTTACCACCAGCCATGACCTACGTTTCTCTGATGTTTTGGTCAAACATGCCCGTTCCTGGAGCGCCATCAGCAATCTTCTCATCATCCTTACAGGTGTATGTTATAGTCATGTGGCGGCCATCATAGGAACCTTCATCGAAACTCTCGTCACTCTCAGGCTCAGACTCCTCCTCACCAGAGCTACTTGCATAGCTAAATATTGAAGCACAATAAGCTACACGTCTTCAGTAATACAAATGTATACTTTGTACATTTTTAAAAGAAAAAATAGATACCTATCTTATTCAATACCAAAAATCCTCAGGTGCACATTGCTATTTCTTTATACAAAATCATCATACAAACTAAAAAGTTGTATCATCATACAAACTAAAAAGATATTTACAGTGCAACTTTTCTTACCCTCCAGTGACATCATCCGAGAATGAAATTCCTTTCTTGCTAGACCCTTTGGAGCTCTTGTAGCTAGACTTCTTCATGATGGACCTAATGGTTCCATTCGCACCATTGGTGGAGGAGGTACTTGTCTGTCGGCTAGCAGAAGTGGAAGAGGAGCTACTGCTGGTAGTAGTTGTTTCACCTGTTGTTATATCTGCATCAATGTCAGTCTCCACAACACTCTTGACCTCTCGGACACCTGTCGTCTCTGGTGCATGGGTAACAGCGATCCTGGTAACACCTTCCTTCACGGGACTCTCATGAGAGCTGGAAGTTGTGGTAGAAGAGGACTGGAATGATGTCACCCTGCCACTGCCGTCACTCATGCTCTCACGCTCATTATCTTGTATGTTTTTATACATGTTCAGGGCCTCTCGTAAACCACCAGTGCCAGAGTATGAGAATGACTTGGTGGAAACGGTTTCTGCTGGCAACCCTGTTCCTTCAGACATTGAAATTCCACTGTCCATAAGCCCTGACAACATAGCATGCTGCTCTCTCCCCATGCCACCGCCAGTGATGTTCAATCCACCGTCACCACCCATCCTATTACTACTACTACTGCTGCTGTAACTGGACTTCTCTGTTCTAATTGTAGTGACACCATCAGGGGATTCTTCCACAGTGGTTGTAACATTCCTGTCTCCACCTGTGCCACTGGTCATCCCCTGCATGGCACTACCCATTATGCGGCCGTGGAAATCACTCATGAGCTGCTCGGCATTTGAAACCTGTGACTGGAATCCCATGTCTTCACTCATCTCACCAGTGGGGCTGATCACAATTTTCTGTGTTTTAAAGGTTCTGCCATCTCCTCCTCCCATTCTGGAAGTACCCCCACTATGGCCGGTTGAAGACACAGTCACACGTTTTTCTGTTCTTGATTTCCTATTGGAAGGCAGATCATGGTGCACTGTGGAGGTGACAGTGCGTTCACTACTTCTGCTCCCAGAACCTGCCATCCCGCTGCCGCCACCACCACTGCTACTGGACACAGTGCTGCTGACTCCTCCACTGCCACCACTACTGGTACTGGAAGAGATAATCCTCTCTGTTTTCCTTGTATAGCCGCCACTGCCTCCACCACCACCACCAGCACCAATCCTTCCACTGCTTCCAACATGGCCACTTGACGTCACATTGTACTCTGTTCTCTTTGTGAAACCACCACCAGCACTGCTGTCCTCAAGGGGGCCAGACGATGAGATTACTTTCTCAACTCTTGAACTTGATCTTCCTCCTCCTCCTCCTCCTGATGTGCCAGTCTTTCCATCACCACTTCCTCTCTTAGAAATGAAATATGTCTCTGTGGTATGTGTTACCCCACTGTCTCCACCTTCCACAGTTCCTGTCACAGTTCCTCCTCCAGATCTCTCTCGACTTTCGGTTATTCTGTAGGAGGTCTCAGTTGGTGATGGAGAGCGGTTTGCACTCCGCATAGAGGTATAGGTTGCTACAGAAGGCTTGTAGCCTTGACCTACCGAAGAATCTATAATGCGTTTTCCACCATAAATGGTGTGATGAGGAATTATTTCTTGCTTTGGGCCAAGATCGGTGGAGTCAAGTGAAACAGTCATCCCTGTTGCTGATGATGAAGAGGAAGATGAGGAGAAGTCCCTGGTCCTTTCTGAAGTAGAGGAAGTCATCTCTCCACCCTTCCTGCGCGCTTCAATCACCCTCTCTTGGTATACTGGAGTGATCTCTACCCATTCTTCAAATGTTTCTGTCTGGTCTTCTGGCATCTTCTTTCCTTTGGTCAACTCTCCAATGTGTAATCCACTCATATGATCGGACTTTTCTTGTCCTCCTGTTGCCTTTGATTTGTAACTTCTGGTTACAGAAGATGAGACCAAGTCCCTGAGACTTGTATCCTGCAACTGTTGTGTTGCCGCATCATCTAAGCCCAGTAAACTCCTGCGCTGAGTCTCAAGTGTTTCTTTGTCTAAGTGAGTGTTTTTGACCCTCCGAACCACACTTGGTACCTGGGAAGTATATGTTGTGATGGTTTCAGTAACCACCCTGTCTTGCGAAGATTTTGGCGTAGGCTGTTGCTGTGGTTGGTAAGACTGCTGCTTTGAAACCTCTTTTACCTGCTGCTGCTGCTGCACCACTTGGCCCTCTGTATTCTCACGGACCATAGCACGTCCGTCACCAACACCCTTGGACCTAGTCTGTACTTTTTCAGTGTTTGTCCCAAAGTTTCTCAAGTAGAAATCGCTATCATCATCTCTAGTGCCAACTGCTTGTGTGACTGTAGAGTGCACATCTGTGTTGGTGGACTGATTTCTTATCTGTTCTGTTGCTAAGAAGATCTTCATGTCTGTTTCTGTTCCCATGGAGATGTATGGCACTGAAATCGTCTGAGTCTCTGCAGGGAAGCTAAGTTTTGGAGTTGTGCTAGTAGCTGAATTTTTCTTTTGTACAGTAACTGTGTTGGTACCAAAGTCCATCTTCGATATAAAATTTATCCCTGTTGCTTTGTTTGCAGTGCTCGGTTCTGCATCCACATAGACTGACCTATATTCTTTTATGGGTCTGACTTCAACATCAATGGTATCACTTGAGCTGGCTTCATCCACTGTGTGAACTTTGTCAGTGAGCACTTCCTTGTCTACACCAGACTTGAAGCTTACGTCTGTCATGGTGCTTTTGCTTGCCACATCCCTATGGAGCATTGTGGAGATGATATTGCGAATCTCTGGAGCACTAATATGCTGCAACTGGAACAAGCTCTGGAGTATGGTAGTTGCACGGAAGGTCTCATAAGTTGTGGTGGAAGTAAATGTGTCTCTGGTTCCCACACTGACACCAACATCCCTCTGGCTTGGCTTCTCTGCCTCACAATGGTAGTGCACACCAACATCTCTCATTGGAACACGCACGGATATTCCAACATTCCTGGTCTGCTTTTTGGCTTCTTTATCAATGATAATTGTTCGGAGTTCCTTTTCTTGAATTTGCATTTGATCTTTCTCAAAGACATTGCCGTCCCCAACTCCAACACTCCTGGTTATAGGCTTTCTCTCCATGGTCTTGATCATTGGGCTGTAGGGGCTGGTGGGTCTCTGCTCTTGCCCAACTACAACAACCTTAGTTTCCTTTTCACGGATCAATCGCTGGGTATGCATCTCTTTTTCCAAGGTTTGACTTTCAAGTAGGTGGGGCTGCAGAGTGTATAGCTCAGTGACACTCTTGTTTCCTACCCCAATACTTCTCATGTCTGGTCTTCTTGGTGCTCTTGGTTCTTCTACGTCCACCCTGTAATCTCCAACACCAATGCTATAGGTGCTGGTAGGTTTACTTTGCTTGGCCAGCAGCTGCAGTTCCAACAATCTTTTCTCCTCTTTCAGCACCGACATTCTCGTCTGAAGGAGTGGGACTGACTTGACTTGTTCTTCAAGATCTCTCATTTTCTGCAAGCTTATGGCTAACTGCTGGCGAAGCTCTATCAAGGACTGGTGATAGATTGGAACTGCCTCTCCAGATGGGTCAGGTCTGGGTAAATGAGCTGCCAGTACTGCAGCTAGCTGAGCTGTCACTGTGGTGTAGCGCTCTGGTCCAGGGCTCCCGTTTACAGCCGACATTTCACTGTTGACAGTGGTCTGGGAGGAAATGGAGCTGTTTGAACCTGCCAGGGCACGGTTTGTTGTGTACATGGTGGATGTAAACTTGGTAGGCGATGTTGGACTAGGGCTGAAATCGCTATCCCCTGCACTGTATGTTCTGTAAGATGTCTGCTTTATTACTTTATCAATTGTATGCAGGGTGGTATCAACTGAAGAGTCTATATCATTCAAATATCTATTAGTGCCAGAATCATATCCAACCATTTCCTGACGAGGCTCATAATCGGTTTCTATCTGCTGGCCTTGTAACTGAACCTCCATGGATTTACGAAGACGCTTCTTGTCTCGTTTGATCTTCTTCAGTTGTTTCAGCATGGTCCCACTCTGGGAATCTTCACAGTAGCGCACAAAGTCCAAGTCTATGTGGTAGCCATAGGGACAGCAGGAGCAGCGGCCTCCCTCCACTGGTTGTCCCTGGGGTGTGGGATCCATGGTCTGCTGCTGCTGCACCAGGGTGCTGGAGCTTGTCATACCATATGGACCTAAAATATAGAAAATGCCTTGATGTAATTGTGTGCAAATCAACCAGTAGAAAACAACACCTTGATTTCACATGAATCTCAAACCATATCATATCCATATTCAACAGAATGTTCCAAATTTACTGAACTTNGTCTGTCATGGTGCTTTTGCTTGCCACATCCCTATGGAGCATTGTGGAGATGATATTGCGAATCTCTGGAGCACTAATATGCTGCAACTGGAACAAGCTCTGGAGTATGGTAGTTGCACGGAAGGTCTCATAAGTTGTGGTGGAAGTAAATGTGTCTCTGGTTCCCACACTGACACCAACATCCCTCTGGCTTGGCTTCTCTGCCTCACAATGGTAGTGCACACCAACATCTCTCATTGGAACACGCACGGATATTCCAACATTCCTGGTCTGCTTTTTGGCTTCTTTATCAATGATAATTGTTCGGAGTTCCTTTTCTTGAATTTGCATTTGATCTTTCTCAAAGACATTGCCGTCCCCAACTCCAACACTCCTGGTTATAGGCTTTCTCTCCATGGTCTTGATCATTGGGCTGTAGGGGCTGGTGGGTCTCTGCTCTTGCCCAACTACAACAACCTTAGTTTCCTTTTCACGGATCAATCGCTGGGTATGCATCTCTTTTTCCAAGGTTTGACTTTCAAGTAGGTGGGGCTGCAGAGTGTATAGCTCAGTGACACTCTTGTTTCCTACCCCAATACTTCTCATGTCTGGTCTTCTTGGTGCTCTTGGTTCTTCTACGTCCACCCTGTAATCTCCAACACCAATGCTATAGGTGCTGGTAGGTTTACTTTGCTTGGCCAGCAGCTGCAGTTCCAACAATCTTTTCTCCTCTTTCAGCACCGACATTCTCGTCTGAAGGAGTGGGACTGATTTGACTTGTTCTTCAAGATCTCTCATTTTCTGCAAGCTTATGGCTAACTGCTGGCGAAGCTCTATCAAGGACTGGTGATAGATTGGAACTGCCTCTCCAGATGGGTCAGGTCTGGGTAAATGAGCTGCCAGTACTGCAGCTAGCTGAGCTGTCACTGTGGTGTAGCGCTCTGGTCCAGGGCTCCCGTTTACAGCCGACATTTCACTGTTGACAGTGGTCTGGGAGGAAATGGAGCTGTTTGAACCTGCCAGGGCACGGTTTGTTGTGTACATGGTGGATGTAAACTTGGTAGGCGATGTTGGACTAGGGCTGAAATCGCTATCCCCTGCACTGTATGTTCTGTAAGATGTCTGCTTTATTACTTTATCAATTGTATGCAGGGTGGTATCTACTGAAGAGTCTATATCATTCAAATATCTATTAGTGCCAGAATCATATCCAACCATTTCCTGACGAGGCTCATAATCGGTTTCTATCTGCTGGCCTTGTAACTGAACCTCCATGGATTTACGAAGACGCTTCTTGTCTCGTTTGATCTTCTTCAGTTGTTTCAGCATGGTCCCACTCTGGGAATCTTCACAGTAGCGCACAAAGTCCAAGTCTATGTGGTAGCCATAGGGACAGCAGGAGCAGCGGCCTCCCTCCACTGGTTGTCCCTGGGGTGTGGGATCCATGGTCTGCTGCTGCTGCACCAGGGTGCTGGAGCTTGTCATACCATATGGACCTAAAATATAGAAAATGCCTTGATGTAATTGTGTGCAAATCAACCAGTAGAAAACAACACCTTGATTTCACATGAATCTCAAACCATATCATATCCATATTCAACAGAATGTTCCAAATTTACTGAACTTTAAAAATTTTTTTGTGCCTCCTACTTTCGTGAGTTTAAGGTCCTTGACTTTTAATACCAAACATAGTCCACCTAAATGTCTTTTTTAATCACAAAACAAACTGAAAAAGGTGTGTTCTGTGGAGTATATTTTCTAGGTGGCAACAGAGGACTGGTGTAAAATGATAACTCTTTCGTGACAGTTTAATAATTGGGCTCACTCTTACATTATTTTTTGCTTAACCCCATATACACTAATTATATTCTTTAATCATCATATCAGCTAAGTGCAATAAAAATTCATTTCCCAGCACAGCATGCTTCAATTATTTTCCAAGGCTATTCTCATCATCTGACTTCATTTGGTCACGTGGCATACTACTCCTAAGTATTGTGTTTTCAATGGGTTGTGCAAATATACGTAAGTACAGATACACACAGTATGTGCCAAAAAGACATTGCAGAGGGGAAATGCACTATGATAGGTATATTTCCAGTCTTTAGGAGAGTTGGTTGCATTACCAGTTTAAAATGGAAAGGGCACCTAAATATATTCTGTGCTACAGAGTTCAAACCCTGATATCATGTTAACATGTTAATTATCCAGGCACAATTTATACAAGAACAGCTGTTTTGACAGAGAAAAGTGCAAAGTGAATGAACAAAATTGCAGTTCTTTTGCACCAAATGACTCTATCTAAATACTAAATAACATGATATTTCAACTATACATGAACTGAAATATCATATGCCTAAACTGAAATATCATTAGACATACACAATCATATATATAAGCCTAATGATTCATTTCACCTGCTGCATGTTCATCTTGCAGAATTCACATTAAATGCATGGCTATAAAATGGAGACAGGCACAGAGCAAGCTACAATGATCCTGATTAATACATCCTGCTGTAGTTTCACCTGCACATACCCTCACAGACACAGCTACACCTAGGTGTTACTACACTACTAATCAACTATCTAATACTGCGTACAAGGAAGATTCTATTAAGACAACTTCACTCATCATTAGAAGTGATCTTTTAAACTATATTAGGACGCAGTGACTGTTAATAATTGTGATCATTCTCAGTGAGTTCCTTCCTATCCTTTGGTGGGCTAATTATGTATCAAAACTAGAAAGGTCACAGGGAGGACCTGGGCTTCTACCTGGAACCAGGCCCTTAATGTCATGTCTTCTGTATCATACCTTGAGAGTTTTGACTGTAGACAAGTAATGACAAACATATGGATAAACCTCAATTACACCAAAACACAATCATATTGTGAAGGACTATGGCTTTCAGATGAGAACCCTCAGAAAAAATGAGTTCACTAAAACTGTTTCAAGACCAGCTCTAGGCAGAGTTTATCAAGCAAGGGAGCACATGATATCCTCACCTTTAAGCAAAACAAAGAAATAAACAGTGTAGACATTCTTCTTTGAGTTAAATCTTTCACTTAACTTAAAATGTTCCTGTTTTGAAACTAACATAATAACACCCCAACATAATTTTCCATTGCTTTTTCTTCACTTCTTAATATGAAAATCACAATGATTTATCTATTCTCAAAATCATTTTTTCCTATTTCCTGACAACTGCACAACATAAATGCAATTTCCTCTTAGCCCACATGCCCATGTGATATAATGTGGCCCTGCAGTAACCTCAGGCATGGAAACAAAGAACAACCAGAGTGTTTGGCACTACGATTTATGGAAACTTAAAATGTCTGGGACATGCTGCAATCTGAAATTTGTAAATATTACATCATAATCAGTATGATGTCCTACTGAAAAGTGAACAATCTATAACATAAAAATTTCTCATAAATCATTAATGTGACTTCAAAGATTTAATGGGTGACATAAATCTAAGGGGTGTACCAGCTAGAGGCAAACGAATGAATGAATGGAATGAACATAACAAATTGGCGGTAATCTATATGTAAGCCACCCTGCCCTGTTCCCGAATTGGAGCAGCTAAAATAATGGCAATGTTATCCCCTTACACACACAAGGTTTTTTTTTTCAAATAACATCTGTTATAAAACCTATTAACTTGTTAATTACTTTTTGTCTGTTAAATTGTCTAAAAATGTATCATCCTCACATGATGTTAACATGCACCTGTGTCTAAGTTTCATTAATAATGACTGCTTGGTACAGATGTATTGCTGATTAATAATCATGTGTAAGTACTAGTATGCATTCCTATCTAAACTCACAAAGCCTAATATACTTAAATATTAAGAAATCATCTCGGGTATGAATCCATTGATTACATATTAATATCATAACACATTTAGTTAAAATGATATTGTATATAAAACATACACCCTTACCATGATAAACACAAAGCCTTTCAAAGTATGATGAAATACTACCAACAATACACAGCTTAAAGATCATAAAAATTAATCAAACAAAAGGAAAATACCAACCCTTTAGACTACATTTCAATTCCTGAACCTGACCCATACTTTCCATTCTTCAAACAAAGCCAGTTAAACCCACGTCCTGAAAAACAGTCTGATAAAAACCTATCCAAAATTGACCTTTTCCTCTGCGGGAAGTTGACTTTTTCAAATCCCCTCTTCATCACTTCCAAATGTATTTTCTTTTGCATATGTCCCTGATTTTTCGCTGCATGGTCTGGGCTCCCCTGATCAAATTATTCCTCATTAGCTTCAGCTACATTTGCAAGGGGCAAGTAGATTTATTCAGTGTTGCTTTAAGGAGAGAACATCCCGATGTTTACGAGTGCATTTTTAAAAAGTCTGTTATAAAGACATAATGTCCACAGGAGGCAAGACGCCGGAGCAAGATGTCAGCACGAGAGATAACACGGCAAAGATATTTTCAACATATGAAGTTGGATCAGTGGAGGTTGCAAAAATCGAGGTGAGAAAAAGTGACCATTGAATGACCTGCATACTCCACAGGTAAGGGAATGTACAAACTGACATACCTTAAATCAATATTACAGAGCCCATTAAGACTCCAACTTGGGAGAACTATAAGGATGATACATAGCTCGTGTAAAGCTGTGAAACACTTCATATAGATGTTCAAGACTACTACATAATAGATTGGAATTTTTTAGACTTTTTACACTCCGAGTAGACATAATTGATAGAAATGCTTTTTAAATATCTACTTCATAGGAGATGCCTCTATGTAAAAAAGTCACTTGGTACCTTATGAAGATATTGGTCTACTGTTAAAATGTATGGCTTTCAGCATTATTTCATGACCCATAATGCACTGTTAATTAGTAACATTAAAATGAAACTGTATCTGCTGTGAGTAATAAAGAGAAGCATATTAAAACTAAATACAGGATAAAATACCCTACACTTTTTAGTGACTGGATGGTACATATGTGGGCTAATAAGAAGGAAATTCCTATCTGCTGATGCCACTGACCACACTATCCTACAGTGAACTCAGGCTTCAGCTACAGTTACCTACTTCATAATACAAGTACTATATGTGACTACAGTGTCTAACAGAGCTTTAGATCTCACACAGTTTTATCAGTTCAATAAAAATGTTGCATTTATATTAGAAAATAAAAACATAATAACTGTTGCATTTATTTTTACAAATGAAAACATTTCAGCATGGGCTGTTCAAAAAATTTGGATATTATCCATGTCTTCTTTATGATCATTTATTTTATGTAAATGAGACAACTGTTAAGTCAATATCAGCATTATAATTAATGCTTGTGACATACAAGGGGTACGTATTAATATGATCAAGCAATAATTTCAGCTTTTACCAAATTTAATAACCAATCAATATATAAGAACTAATAAGAAAGAAATTTGTAAAAAACTTTTTCATCAAATGAAAAAAGTTTGGTATTGTGATGATCACTGCTTGCATGTGACAGGTTAATATTCTGACCTTCACTCTACTGCAAAATGGCATTTACAGGGGTTTTTCAAAACTTTGACAATGTTTCTTCTCACTTCTGCCAACTTGACAGCATACAAAATAAATGAAAACTAAAATGAGTCAGGTAAAACTGTGTTTATTTCATGCTTTTTGGAGCTCTCCAACCTAAACCAACCTTCAGTCCAGTACCCCACAGATGCAAAAACATAAACAAGTAACTTTCTCTACCAAAAGAGGGCAGCACAAATCCATGATAGCCCTCACAGGTGTTAAGATGGATAGATAACCCATGAACATCAAAGAGAAAAGAAGCTCAGTTCTGTGCTTGTTCTAGACCAGGACCAGGACCATGTATTAAGATATGACTGTTATTCCAGTTGAGCAGCAAATAACTGCATAAATTACTGTTGATGATCCCGATCCCTTTTTTTTAAATATCTGCTAGTTATTATATGCACAACCAATTTAGTAGGTTGCACAAGAGATACAAGTCAATGCCTAAATGAAGGGGTTGAAGGAAATAATCAATGACTTCACAGGTACAAAATGTTATAAGAAATCCTCAAATGTGTAATGAAACAGTAAGCATAGCAAGTGTAACTAGAAATATTACTAACCCTTATCCACCAATTTCATTTTAAATCAAAGCAAAAAATGTACTAAAAAGTTATTGTTACCTTTGAAATAGTCTATCACATAATAATAGCCCTGTTTCTGGTTGAAAAACATTAGCCTAATATATCAGAAAAAGTTGCTTCAATCAAAACCTGTGTAACTTACTAAGGCCAATCGATGTTTATGGGAAGAAAACTTACCAAGGTTACAATTAAGAACTTCATTCAGGAATAAAAATTCCTGAAGTTAAGCCTGTAACTTTTTAGTTAAAAAGATAAGGACACAGCTAATAACATTGTTATCCCTAAAATGGTGAAAAATTATTATTTACCGGCTCCTTGCATTCCAGGTACATTCATTTGGACTTGCATATCATATCCCCTGTTGTCATCTCTGTCTCTTCCTGGAGACACCATCCGCCCTGTTGTTGCATAGTCATATGTCACGCGCCTTGTTGCTCTGGCAGCCATCTTTCTTTTTTATGTGTGGAGAACTTAGTTATATTCCTAAACCATACTTCCCTGAAAATAAAAAGTCAAATTTTACATACCATGCAAATTAAAGTATAATATAGTTCTCTGTTTTATTGACTTCTTTAACTGAAGTAAATTGTTCAACAAGTGAAAGCCAACATCTTTTTTAATGTAGCAGTGTTTTCTTCTGGAAAAATTGCAGACCTTTGACAACTGTTTAATTAGGATTCCCCATAGGGGAATACTATTGTTTTTGGTATTATTATTATTATTATTATTATTATTATTCTTTCCGCGCGTTTTTTTTCGCAAAAAATCTGAAATAATTATCATAGGTAGCCTATGGCAAGAATATGCCACAGACCCAGTTTCAGTGACCTTGACCTACTTTTCAAGGTCACAGGGGCTTTTAAAGGCAAAATTTGTAAAATTTGAAATTGACATTAGGCCTTAAGTATAAGCCATATGGCTATGGGCCTTATGGTCAGTGATACTGAGGTGAATCCACATATAATGACCTACTTTTATGCAAGTAGATCAAGGTCAAGGTCGCTAATGGCCAAACGGGCTCAAAAAAGGTTTGTTTCCGAGATCTCAGAAACCGGAAAGCCCAGAGCCCTAATCATAGTGGCAAATGATGCCCTATATATTTATCTAAGGTTAGCCGTACTGTGGTAGCGACTGCTTAATTACTTTTTTTAATATAGATTTTTAAATATTTATGATATTGCAGAAATCTTGAGATTGGCAGTTTCTCCATGAAACACTGGTTTTTGGTCATAGCATGCTATAGTAAACTACCCCAAACATATACCCAAAACCCCCAAATCAAATGTCAAATTTGACCTTGACCCTCATTTNAAAATTTGGGTTTGGGAGGTTCTCCATGAAACCCTGGTTTTTGGTATTAGCATGCTATAGTACACTACTCCAAACATATTCTCAAAACCCCCCAAATCAAATGTCAAATTTGACCTTGACCCTCATTTTCAAGGTCATTTGGCTATTTCATGGAGAAATATTGAAGGGGGCTAAAAGTGATGTTTTGTTGACCCCCCCCCCCCCCCCAATTCGCACATGTTCTTTCAGAATATGGGGTCAAATTGAACCCATGACCTTCACATGACCTTGTAAGAGCATTTCCGCACCTATTCTGCAGGGGAATCCTCCGCCACTGGCTTTAGCCAGTTGCAGTCTAGTTTTCATTTGTTTTTGTTGCACAAATAGTCTACAGATATAACTTAGTTGTACTGGTAAATTGAAACAACACAACTCTTGGATGTTGTATTTGGGAAGAAGCACCATACCACCTCTTTTACCGTGTAGAGGTTTCCACTTAACAAATGACGTCAAAAGAAAATGAAGATAGTAAAAAATTGAGAACAAAAAAATAATGCAGTTTTTATGCTAAAATCTAGATTCCAATTTTACTGACACTCTAAATTCAATTAGACAAATGTTAAATTTTTTGACAACACTTCCACTTAAATTAACAAAAAATGGGAAAAGTTCCAAGCAAGAAATCCAGCGAATGTCAAACAATCTTCTTAACATTCTGTCAAAACTTTTTTTATTGTAGTCAGACAAGGTTAACCAGCAATGTGAAAAACACATTCATTGGAATGTTCTAAATTCTCTGTATTATGTATCCAGCATACCAACAAAAAAGGTGCCTTGACTGACAAAGACAAGAGATAAGTTCGCAAGTCTGTGATAGAGACTGCTAAAATTATGTTCTGATGCATGGTTTCAATTTAGGAACTTGGAACCTAGACAAAATCAGCACAATGACTTCTATGATGCAACAGATGCAAGGTTTCAATTAAAGAACTTGGAACCTAAATAATTTCAGCACAGCAATGACTTCTATGATGCAACTATGATCTTTCTCCCCTACATGGTGTACACATTTATCATAGGGCTGTGGTTCCTTGGAAGACACTTACTCAGTTCACTGCTGAGCACAAAATGAAGGCCTGCATGCCTGGAGACAACTGTGCCACGCTCCAATTGAATGTAAAAAACCTTACACCACCTAAGGTAAGGCATCCACAGTACACACAGCAGGCATGCAGGCATGTGAGCACACAAATACAGATCACTTGGATCCTTAACAGATTGTTTTGACATCTGACGTCTCAAAGCAAGGAATTTCAACAATTAAGCTGTTTCAAGTCTATATTTTAAAGTTGACTCTCAGGTGCCCAGACTACATGCTCTAATAACTCTGTGATGTCCAACTAAATCACTGGGTCAATGCCATTCATGTGCCATCATGCCAAAATAATTTTTTCAAGTGAATCAATTCCAAAACATAGATAATTTACTCACTGTCAACAGCAGTTAGAGTTAAGCATAACTGTCAATTTCTTTATATTCTTTAAATAACTGAATAACTATATCTTTATTCACGCAAGCTCTCCCATGTCCGTTTGAATCACTTATGACAAAAAAAAAAAGAAAGAAAGAAAGAAAGAAAGAAAGAAAGAAAGAAAGAAAGAAAGAAAAAGAAAAGAAAGAAAAAACTGGTGTATCTTCAATTATTTAAAATCCTATATCAAGAGATCAACAGGTTATGTTCACAAGAATTCTGTTTCAGTAAGCAGTAAACTTTTCTCATGTCACATGCATGTTCAACAAATGGAGAGCAGAAAAAATATGTTACACCTGAGAGATCTAACAGAACAATAACAAAACCACACACAATGACGCCAAACTACTCACTGCAGCACTATTCCCAGGCCAACAATGTGCCCTCACTGGCACGCCACTTCAAATAGTAATGTGCTTCCAAACAGTTGTTTGCTGTACTTCAGGGTAAAGAACAACACTGAAGTCATATTCAAAAATTGGCACGGTCTAGGTTGTGTAATTTATTATCAATTTTATTCGTAATTAGCTCTGTCAGTTCAACCTTTTTTACTGTTCACAAGCAGGTAGTTGCTGCTGTTGCTCCTGAACACAGTCTTATAGAACACAAACTGATATACTAGTAGAGCCTCTGCCAAAATGTGATTTTAGCATGATCTCCTGCAGTTAATCCCAGGAAATACAGGATCAAATAATTGTCATATTTGTGAGAATTAATCACCTCAGTTGGCAAAATGTGTGCGATAACTGGCATTTAGGCACCTAAGACAGACAACACAAACAACGGGACTAAGTTATGCTCAGTAACATGCAACCATCAAACTGGGTGTAGAGGAAGATATTAAAGGCAGAAATAACTATCATGTCATGTGGCTTCTTGAAATTATCAGAACTAACCAAGACACCTCAGTCCTTATTTCATAATAAGTATCTGATAAAGCTACTAAGTAATAGTAAAATCCTACAATTCTACACTGAGTTGAATCATTTTTAACAAGCTAAAATAGATTCCCTTTGTATTCCTATTCACATTCATTTAGAAATTATATAAATCTGAGCAGTAGATTCACAGCACACATGGAAACAATGAACAGAACTATTTACTTACCTATCAGAGTATTCATATTCCTAGCTACACCCTACAACTTCTGCCTGCTATATGTGGAAGCTAAATTATCCCTTTAACCTCTTATTCCTCCCATCCCCCTCTCACAACCTACGCATTTGACCTTGGCACAGAGCATCTTCTTTTGGATGCTACAAGCTCTTATTGAGAGGCTGATTTTACTTACACTCTTACCCTCATATGTGACATTCCCCTTCAGATTCTATTCCATCTTAAACACACAAATGCATGCATCTACGCACACATGCGCAATATGCATACACACGCATACATACCTAAAGTCAGCCAAGCTGCAATTACCCTAGCTCCATACAAAAAAAAAGCATTACATCATTCATAGATTCCCAGTGAGAAAATAATAACATGCACAGCAAGCACTATAGTAGTCTGCTGGAAATAGACTGCATATCAACTAGAACTGACCTAAACCCTGTGGTCATTTGGAGTGAACCTGTATGAAGCCTGTTTTACCAAATAGGCATTGCTGCTTGCATATAGAGTAGAGGATGGACAGGTACGAGGGTGACACCTAAAATACTTCCAAAATGTCTGAGATGAAAGGAAAGCAGCATGCCTTTGATGGGTTATCAAAAAATAATAAATACACAGAATATATATGTATATAAAGTAGTGCAGTATTTACCTTTACTTCTCTATAACTTTGATTGCCATTCATTTTATTTAAAAAAAAAAACGTTTAAAAACTTTTTTAATCACCCAAAAAAGTATGGTTTCAAAAGAGAAAACTTAAAAGTCCAGAGAAAGAAACCACATTTGCCTTATGGTGGGCATCTTCAAATTTGACCATAGTTAGTCATTAAATTTCTCTAAAATGCAAATTTTATCCAAGATGCCATCTAGCCCCTTGGTAACTAGCAAATGTATGTGTAAATATCACAGGTGACAGCCATCTTATATGATATGAAGTTATAAAGCAATCCAGCAACAAATATCTATAGTCCTATCACCCCCCCCCCAAAAAAAAAGGGTTTGAAATTTCAAAATAAACAATGAGTTACATAATAGCAGCTGCTTTTATTTCAGCTTGTGTTCACTTTTTCCATATTCTTGGTTTCTCACACCCTTTTTCACTTTATACCTTAAGAGAGATACATAGCTCCGAACTTTAATGGTACGTCCACAAACTAGTCAAACTTGTTTAAAGTTCAGAGGCTTCCATCCTCTTGATAGAAGTGACTCTTCCGCTTTATTTAACACTGGCTACCATATAAATCATAAAAGCTAAATTATATCATAAAATTAAATCAAATTTGATGAAATATTAAACAAACTTATTTCTTACCTCCTGATGAAATGCGATGTCACCTTGAAGAACCACTACAACAACAAAAATGTGTTAAGGTTACCCACATTTAGTGACAGAGATTTAAGAAGTGTCCCAGCACCCCTCCCAGTCAGCAACCAGCTTTTCTGGAGCAGTGTGACAGCTTTCCGTGTGCGGAATTATTAAGAGTATTCTGCTGAGACCTTTAAGTGACCTCCCATCGCCCTAACGCACATCAGCTTCCCCCTTTTTAGCTAAATAACTACACATTCTTTATAATGGTATCAGGTATTTGATAGTCCACGGTAATGATAATCCATGGTGAAGGCCCCTTTCTTTGCATTCAGTTGAGGATGCCAAAGACAGTGAGCATGCCAGCTGAGAGATACAATGAACTGGTACAGTACACTTCTGCTCCATGATGGATAGGATTCTTCAGATATATACAAAATATCAAATCTATTGTGACTTTCCAGTTGAGAAAAGAAACAAATGGGAACAATTTAATGCTGTGGTAAAAAGTAAATGCATTCTTTTTTGGTTGTTGTGTAACAGGGCTTGTTTTTTTTTCACCAAAATGAAAACATGTAATGTTTGTCTGATCATTCATTTAAAGGGAAGGGAGTGAAAACATGTAAGATGACAGTTTGGATTTGTATATCCTCAAGCCACAGTATATCATCTGACCTCTGACACTAGGATTATAAATATGTTAAATTTAACTTTGCAGACATCAGTACCTGTTCTTTTTTGTAAGCTGTAAAAAGAAACAATAAATTAAGTGTTTTAACATTTTCTACAATGTCATATTTGCTCTTCCTTATTTGGATCAAGCCACAGATATGCAACTTTTCTAACTAATAAATGATTTTCCAGCTTTTTTTTAAAATAATTTTTTCCTATTTTTCATCAAAAAAGATAACTTATCAAACTCTGTGCACTTGTATATAGGACTATTTCAGAACATCATCACTTATCCTACCTTGATGGTCTCCAAATATAAACCAGTATACCAGCTTAATACATGGGGCTTCATACACTATATAACTATAATCATAAGAGGAGGCTCCACATGCAGGTGAACAGCAATAATAACCCCTACCTGTAAGTGTATGTTTTAAAGGAAAATTAGGATACTGCAGATATATAATGGCAGGGAAAATCCATGGTGTATATTTATACTATACATTCCTTCACTACTGCCTAGCTAGAGACCCCATGATAACTAGAATAACACTGGTCTTGTAGTCTTAATGAGATTTTGATTCTATGCCCTAAACATACATATGCTCTGTTTTTAATTCTTACAATTCATAGTTTGGTCATCATACAAACTAGGGAGTTTGATGTAAAAATAATTTCAGTTTGACTCAATAAGCCTCTGGACAACAACTGACCAACAGGCAACACAATCCCCAAGCCAAGCCCTCCTCTCTTTCCACCTGTAATACTGTACATAAAAGGTGCGTCTTCACCTGAAAACTTCACCCCAAGTGTTGTTCTTGATCATCAGGTTGCTTTCCTTTTTAAGTGTTCCACTGTGAACCATTTGAAAAAGCTGGTAATAAAAAACAACACCCCTGTAATCATCCACAGGCAGAGCCATTTCAAAGCAATCTGCTGACCTAACAGGATGTCTCTGGTTAATCCCAAATGTGAAGGTCTACTTTTATTACCATGCCCTGTGTGTGGATATGGCTATCAGACATACTGAGAACAGGTGTGTTTATCTCGTCTACCTGAGCCAGACTCACGTTTACAGGTAAACTACAGTAAAATCTTACAGCTGGGCAATATCTTAAAGGATAAACAGTATACTTGCAGTAGTGTGTCTCCTCTCAGCTATGCCACGGCATAGTAAAACATAAGCTTTTGGCATGATTACTGAAACTTAGCATTTAAGGTTATAGTAGTTTGTTTAGATATACGTAACAATCTTACTTAACCAGTCTCCATTTGCATGTTGTAATGACTCAGTCAAAGCATTAGCATCAAGTTGTCCAACTACAAGTTCACTTTCACTGCATCAAAAAATTATGAGGTATTATGAATTTGCTATCATCAAGTGATTGTACAATTTACACCACGTATGTCTCCATGTTCTCTATTAAAATGTCAGACTTGTCCTCTTCCATCCATACTTCTCACATAACTTGACTTTATAGACTTGACCTTTTTCAGCAGTCACACTTGCCCATAGGGACTTTATGGACATATGGTCAACTAGGCACTATTTTAATATACATATCTATTTTTATCATACTGAAATTTATTCTAGATATGTTGTTGCAGATGTGTTCTAAAACATTTGACCCACCTTGCTTTACAAATCCCAAGTTATCAGAGTATGTTGACAATGACTAAGGTGACAGGACTGATTATAGAATGTGAATAAAAATATTACCCAGAGGTTGGCAGGGTTTTGGCAAAAAACAGCTTTCACAAAAAGCTCTGTAATATGGCTTTTAGTTTTTCTTCACTTATCTTAAACCAACAAAGAGATGTAAAGCATTCCTTGTACTTTCATCTCATGAAAAATACATTATTTTGGTTCAGAGGGAAGCAATCAAATTACTTTAAATGGATGCCATGTGGGCTGAACATTAGTAAATTAAGCCATTTTAAAAAATGAAAATGGGGATATCTTAGCCAATATACATTACAACCAATATAATAAAAGAAAATTCAGAAATTACTGAATATGACCTATCTACTTGCCTACTTCTGTCAAGATGGAACTCAGTAGTATAAATGTCTCTTATACAAGAATATTACCAACCTTTGAATTTCCCAGAACCCTTCTTTGGTGGCCTCTGCTACTGGTTAGCACCATTCAGCATTGTTGTACTGAAAGACCCTTTGATATATGTTGACAGTATACTAATGTGTGGATTTCTGATTGAACCAGGTTCACTTTCTATCAACATTACATCTGACTACCCGCACATCGACACTTCTTCATGCACAGATGGCTATATTACTGTGTCATATCACTGCAGTCATCAGCATTTAGGCATTTATACAGATCAAATCTGCAGGTAAATAAAAGCCTCAATGTAACTGAATACACTGGCCCTCTTACCTGTAATCAGAGTTACCTGCACAGTAACCAGGTGAAGGGTTTCTACTCTCCACTAAGATTACCATCATGGATATCATATGGCACACTTCAGAAGATTGGGGTTAATCCTTTAAGATATAGATTCTGTTTTGACTTAATAATGTCATATACTTACTAATGTTTCTTCAATGTAACTATTTAATTCACTCATGATCAAATCTTCAATTTTCGGCCTTCCCTTCAATTCAAACATGCCTCAATCAATTTAGAGTGGGAGTACGTATGTTTTAGATAAAAATGCGAAATACCTCCACCATCTGCATACAAAAATAACCTACTCCTACAAATAATAATTCTTATCTACCATCAACTTTTGACCCAACAACAAATTCAAAGCTGCTACATTGTTTGCCTTAGTTTCCACGCACACTTGTTCCTATCAAATGGAAATATATAGAAGCTGGGACAGATTATCTTTCTTCTCTAAAATGTACTCTGCGTTGAAACAATTAAGAATATTCAGGTGTTCACTAGGACATAATATGACTAGAATCTTGTCCTACATCTGTACAATTCTTTTCAAAAATCAGACCAGTGCCAAGTACTTTTTTCACTTACCTTAACAGCCAGGTATATCTCACATAAAACCCTACAACCTACGCCAGAGGCTGACTAACTTGAGACTGAGGAAAAATGCACTCAATCCTGTTTTCTGTGGCTGACTTTTTACCAAAATAGCACCCCAAGCATGACTAAGCATCAGTTCCTGCGCCAAATAGACAGTTTTTTCATACAGCATTCATCTTTCAAGGTATATCAACATTACTGCTGCCAGAAAATCAAAATAATGACAGTTACAGTCATCGTAAATTCTCATGCATGAATACCTAATTTGTTCTGACCAACTTCACTTGGTGAATTTTTAAATTTGTTAATGCATTGCAGGAAGTTTTACTTATCACAAACTGGAATTGAAAGGCCACTGTCTGGCATTCCATAGTTCCTACCTGATACAGTTGTGCTATACCACTTTATTGCAGATCAAAATATTCTGTATCAAACATCTTTCTAGCATCAAAAATATTTTCATGTATTTTGTATCAATATTTTATTTCATGTGTTGTCTAAAAACTAAACTGGGGCTTTTGGCAAACATTCATAAACTATTATGTCATAGTTTTTGCAGTTTGACTGATGATAAAACATAAAAACATGTATTTGTTTTAAATAGAACTGATTGGAACCACACACGTAGTTGATATAAATACAAGCAATGTAGATGTAGACCACATATGTCCAAAGCAATCCTAGCTGTAATCTATTTTCTTCCATTACTTTCAGAAGACTTTCACCCCCTCCATTACATAAGAACATCAGGTGTAAAAACCCAATCATCCATAATACTACTACTACTACTGAGGTCCTATATCATATATCACAGCCAAAAGAACAGACACAATTCTCCTTACTTCACATAAATATGACAGACATAAAGCACTTCTTATTACTCTGAGAAATAACCATAAAATGCATGCACTAGAAGCCATCAGGCACTTTTGTAATGCTTTCTGCAGTGTATGTTTTCACTAGGTGTAATGCTATTCTGACTCTTCATGTGTTATAGGATTCCTTTAATTTACGCTATGGAGTGCTGTATTATGCTTGATAATCCTAGCAGAGATTATGCTGTGTAGAATTATTATTGTAGAGAACGAAAAGTTGAACACTAGCAACAAAACATGGGTGTGTTGAGATCAATAAATGAAATCTGGTTTCTTACCTCTGGATTGCTTGTTTTCTCTCTGTAATCTCTAATGCTCACTCACAATGGTCCAATCAGAGACTTTCCACTGAAAAAACAAATAAGTAGAATTCAACCTGATTCTTTTTTTTTTTTGTTTTTTTTTGTTTTTTTGTAAATCACACTAAAAAGAAATATGATATTTTTGACCAGTGCATGATGAGCCTACCATATATATAGTTATTTTGTTTTGTGATTGACTCATCACTCATACACAGACTGACGTTTGTCTTCAGGTTCAATAAAAACATTTCCGGTTTTACTGAACTCTGGAAACAGTGGTCAAACATGTTTTGTTTCTGTAGAAATAATGGCTTGAAATGTAAAATAAAAGTACTGTTATAACACTGTAATATTCCCTTTATGCCAACTGTGCTATTCTTATGTCTTTAAAAACATGTTTGATAAATGTGCTAGGAACCCTGTCATACTTTTTGGAGTAAGAAAATATTATTTAAATATTATAAGAGAATGAAAAAAAAAGCCATATTAATTGCACTTAACAATATTTTTTATATCATTTTAAACTATACAATATACAGAAAAATATTGAAAAACATCCTACCGAAGAGGTTTGAAGTCCAAGCTCACATTCACCAGGCTGTCTAGATTCAAACAACTTGCCTTCACAACTAAACATCAAAACAGTCTAAGCTTCTAATTCTCCAAAGGTGATATAATCTAACATTTCCCAATCAAGGTAGCTGTTAAACTATCAAGCACTATCTGCACACCCTGGAGACAGAGCTGAAAATACTCTGTAAGGTTTAAATAGTGTCCGGCTGCATTACACACTCTCCTTCCCTCAGATACCATTTCTCTCATCCTATTCAGTCCTGCTCGGTTATACAACAAGACATAGCTGTTTTAATTGGAACTTGGTTGATTTGTAAAGAAGCAAACGCACATTTAAAGTCGACACAGGCTGTGAAAGCACTCTGGGCAGAGAAAAGTGAAGATGTCAAGCAAAGATAAGCACAAGTTTGTAATGTGGTACTTAACCTCATAAAAGGTGTGTTTATACTAGATGGAGAGATCGAGATTGCACCAATACAACTGAACTTAAATGAGTCTTCACTTGAAATGACCCAGTGCTCTCAATGGAAAAATAATTTTAATGGACTGTTTTTATACTTAATGTTCAACTACTTCCAAGCTTTTAATTCCTACTTCCAAATAATATCTAATTTTAAGTAAAATGACAATTTTTTTATAAAATAACTAACAAAAACTCCAGCCAATAAAAATAATATAAAACCTTGTGCTAGTGAAGAAAGTAGTTTGTTTTGCTAGGCAAAACATAATGAAATGCTATAACATGAAATTAATGAATTGCTATTCTAAAACTGCCAATTTCTTCACATTAAGGGGTTTTGGTATTCATTAGTTGGTTTTTGATAGACCACAGTTGCTACAGAAGCTGAACTAACTTGGTATGTAGAAAACTCCAGTCAAACAAGAAATGATCAATTCACAACAAAATCTTGGCAATGTCCCTTGAAAATCACAGATCTTATTGATAGAAAATTTTCCAGTAACCTGACCAGCACCTTTTAAGTTCATCAGAAATGAAATGAGGAACACTGATCTATCAGTTCTGAACTTCTTTCGACAGGCAATTTTACAAATGATCTCCATCTACCATGTCATATCAACAATCTTAATTATAATTGCAAGATTAAGATTAGTTATAACACAACCTTGTCACCTCCTCCTTACCTTCAATAACTACAGTATATGGGGAAATAAGTAACCATCCCTCTTAGGCTTTTACAAAAAGCTATCCTGAGCAGAACAGTCTAATAGAGTGTCACTCTATGAACTGTATTGATTGCCTGTCATGTACGAACAAAGAAATCAATTTATTATATCAATTAACATGCCTACTCTGTACTGTCTAGGAGCAAATGATATTACAACCTTATTGACCAGAGATTTCTTTTGTCATCATTTGTTCACATGGCTTTCAGTTTTTGTTAAATAATAAAAATGAGCTGTCTTGTTCAATCAACTATATTATTACATTATCTGAATCTAACACTGGACTTGGAATGACACTAAGGCTGACCGCAGACAAAAATGAAACACAAAAGACCAGTACCAGTCCCAGTAAGGAGGACACAACATTTTCAGAGTCTTATGTTACTGCTGCCATTGGTACTTCAGTTATAAGTTATAGATACAAAAAAATGGATAAATAAACCACTAAATACATCTTCCCTTGAAAACTGTAACAGCATTTACCATTTTCAAGATTTAAACCATTTTCAGACAAAATAAAATAAACAATCATGATCATGATAATTTATTTGACAGATTTACTGAATTTGAAACAAAACCACCTCTCATGAATACTAAACATATATATCAAATACCTAAGTCCTATATAATTCTTTTAAATATTTATAAAAAAAGTAATCAACTACACACTGTGCCTAACAGCTGGTGACACCCTAAAGCACTATGCTCAGATAGTAAATAAGCAAGGTTTGTACGGCATACTATCATGTGTCCATCTAAGGGGCATGACTTAAAGATGACCCCACACTCCACAGATAGTGCATTCCATTTACCTTGTTCTACAAGATAAAGAAACCCATGTTGTTCAAATATATACTGTTATAACACCTGTGAAGGGAAACTATTACTAGTACAATCTTCTCCTTACTGTACGAATGTTAATACCTAGCTACAATTTGACAGATGACTTAATACTAACCTTGATCATGAAAATTTCGATGTTTCTCATGCAATCTATTTAGCCTATAGACAATTAAGCATACTCCATAAAAAGATATCTAAAGGTGATCTAAATTCAGCATTATCTGATATGCTCCTATTCAAAGTCCCTGGATGTAGAAAAGATATATTCTGCCACTTTTACGAATTTAATACAGAGCAATGAAAAAAATCAACTTGAAATATGTCCAACAAAAAACGATCTTGCAAAACAGGTTTTTAAATGCATGCAGCAAAAGGGCTGAGTGGAATGGGTCTACCCTCTCCTTGAATTCAGACTTTGTAAAACTGTCATAAATGATAGATGTGATTCCCTACCACAGAATGAAAAGAAATTCATGCAATATTCTCCGCAGAGGATTTATTTAATCTCTGCACAACCAGTCTTATTATTTACAAGGGTAAAGACAACAAACTCCCACCACATTTATCCTTAAAAAACAGTTCAAAATCATCTTAAGTTTTTAGTAAACAGAGTTGAAAGATGTATCATAAGTGAAGATGCAATTTTAGTCCAAACCAAATTTAGAACAGGTAATTTTTGTAAACTACATGGTATATCAAAATGTTTTTTTGTCATTTATTTTCCATGAAAGTAGCTCAATAAGCATGCATACTTTTCATTATCAAATCTGAGCAAGCAACACTATTTTCTGCAATACACTTATATGTTTAAAAATCCCCAGCTTTAAGTCCCCTGTCTCCAGACCATACTTCAAAAGTCAACAAAAAAAAGAAAACACAGTTCTACTTTTTAATGTTTGATTTTCCAGTTGACTTCACATCCATATTGCACTGTATGCACTCTGTGTCTGGAGCCAGTGACTACATTAGAAAACAAGTTTTTCCACTTAACAATTTTTATTCTTCTTTATTGTAACAAGTGGATCTTAAAAGACCTTTGTGCTAAAACACATAATAGTGTTAACCATATGGTTAAACAAGTTCTAGTCCCTTCCCCCCTCCCTCAGTTTCCATCTTTGTATATGACTATCCTCTTTTTCACCCACCACCCCACCTACCCTACATCATCATAAAGGTGTGGGTAATGTAAAGTTGGCTGGTCATGCTTAATTTACCATGCTGTAAAAAAAACTCATCTACCCGATGGCCACAACAGCAGTAACGTTTTCTTGCAGCTGTGAGCAGCAAGTTGGGGGGATGCCAGCTTGTCAACATACCTATATATGTCTTTGTGGTGAATACAGAGAGAAACCGGTTCTGCGACTTTTCTTCTTAGTATGCACTTCAAACACCTTCTCAATTTACACAACCAAAAATATCAAGTAGTACAACACCACATGCAGATTCAAAGGCTTTACACATTCCCATCAAGTTCAAAGTTAGTTTTGTTCCAGTAAAGGCTAACAATGGTCAGAGCATGTTTTACCCCCCCCCCCCCTTTTTTTTTTTTCCATTTCCTTGGATTGTAAAATAGCAAAGATTTAAACCCAGGAAAGGTTGTAATACATTTATACATGCCTTACACACCAATTCAGTAAAATGTTGTCTCATCCATTCTTTTTCTTATTCTTACAGCTTTTACTGTGAACCTAGACCTCCTGCAACAATATTACCACTTAAAAACTCAAAATTTTCACAATAGCAACCTTCTATACATCTTTTAATTAGAGGGCATTCAAGACAAGTTAGTCTGCGGGCTAACAAATCTGTGGATCCTCCGTGGACCCACATTAAAGCAAGGGGGGAGGTTCAAACTAACCAATCTTTTTGTTGGGAAAGGGTTCGCTCTGGAAAACTTTGACCTAGCTAAATGAAGGTTTCATAGTAAAAGGCCCATTTTATCAGAAAAAGACACCCCAACCCTCTTTGAAATTGCTGGCTACGTGCTTAAAAGTCTTGCCCCTTTAATTTACTAGTTTTTACTTTAGGTTCCTCCCTGGCACTCAATGTAACCCTGCCTATTTCCCCGCTTTTTCTTAAAAATCCTTGGCACCTGAAACTAAGCAGGTCCAGTCACTAAAACAGAGAGAGAGAGAGAGAGAGAGAGACGGGAGAGACGGGGGAGGGGGGCGATTTACAGTGTGGCACAAAAAAGTAAAGAATCCAAATCAAGAAATACTATGAAAAAGTATAAAAGTTGTATCATCTAATTAATGTCTTACCTTTGTAAGTACCAGCAATGCCTTCAACAAGGGTGAAGTAAAGTGCTTCAACAGGTGGCCGAAATGTGTTTCACGCTTACGCCATTGTTGATGGCGGATGTGACGTATTCACTCACCAACCAATGTGCCTAGTGTGGTAGATGAGCAGGATGAGGTTTCATCACAAGCGCACACTTATGTATGGTTTGGAATCTTTTTGATCGGTTAGATGAAGCGAAAAATAAATTTCATTTTTCTGCACCGTTTTGTTTTGTAATTTTATCAACATACTTTGCGCAAGGCGTGAGAAATAATCCGTTCATTGTGTTCCCTCTCTACTTTCGTTCTAGAGTAAATTCTGTGCCTGCTATTGCTTAATATGGTCCTTTTTTGGGAATTAATCATGAATAAAAACGCAAAAAGAAAACAAAAATTCTATAAATTATATTGTTGTCCATCTTCCATTGTCAAAACAGCTTCTACATCCCAGGTAAAAATTTATTTTTGCTTCATTATATCAAAAATAAAATTCTACTGACAACTCGAACAGAGACCTACAGTACATTATTGAAGGCTTGAGTAAAGGCATTTCAAGTTACGAAAATCAAATGGTATGTCACTGTCATGTCTTCTTCACATACATAATTGTTATCTTTTTTGGGAATCAGTTTAGAAATTATAATAGGATTTTCAGTAACACTGGTAAGGCCAAGTGTTACAGCATCTGTACAATGTGAACTTGTCTAAGTGTTTCTTTTTGGCATCACACTGTATCCCAGCGGGCACTCAACGTTGATTCAACATTGAGGATAGGTTGAGATGATGTTGATCCATCAATATTGATAGATCAACAAGATCTCAACATTGAATCAACCTTTTCTTGTCAACCAATTGTCAATGNCCCCCCCCCCCCCCGCCCCTTTTCCATTTCCTTGGATCGTAAAATAGCAAAGATTTAAACCCAGGAAAGGATGTAATACATTTATACGTGCCTTACACACCAATTCAGTAAAATGTTGTCTCATCCATTCTTTTTCTTATTCTTACAGCTTTTACTGTGAACCTAGACCTCCTGCAACAATATTACCACTTAAAAACTCAAAATTTTCACAATAGCAACCTTCTATATATCTTTAAATTAGAGGGCATTCAAGACAAGTTAGTCTGCGGGCTAACAAATCTGTGGATCCTCGGTCGACCCACATAAAAGCAAGGGGGGGGAGGTTCAAACTAACCGATCTTTTTGTCGGGAAAGGGTTCGCTCTGGAAAACTTTGACCTAGCTACATAAAGGTTTTATAGTAAAAGGCCCATTTTATCAGAAAAAGACACCCCAACCCTCTTTGAAATTGCTGGCTACGTGCTTAAAAGTCTTGCCCCTTTAATTTACTAGTTTTTACTTTAGGTTCCTCCCTGGCACTCAATGTAACCCTGCCTATTTCCCCGCTTTTTCTTAAAAATCCTTGGCACCTGAAACTAAGCAGGTCCAGTCACTAAACCAGAGAGAGAGAGAGAGAGAGAGAGACGGGAGAGACGGGGGAGGGGGGCGATTTACAGTGTGGCACAAAAAAGTAAAGAATCCAAATCAAGAAATACTATGAAAAAATATAAAAGTTGTATCATCTAATTGATTTCTTACCTTTGTAAATACCAGCAATGCCTTCAAAAAGGGTGAAGTAAAAGTGCTTCAACAGGTGGCCGAAATGTGTTTCACGCTTACGCCATTGTTGATGGCGGATGTGACGTATTCACTCACCAACCAATGTGCCTAGTGTGGTAGATGAGCAGGATGAGGTTTCATCACAAGCGCACACTTATGTATGGCTTGGAATCTTTTTGATCGGTTAGATGAAGCGAAAAATAAATTTCATTTTTCTGCACCGTTTTGTTTTGTAATTTTATCAACATACTTTGCGCAAGGCGTGAGAAATAATCCGTTCATTGTGTTCCCTCTCTACTTTCGTTCTAGAGTAAATTCTGTGCCTGCTATTGCTTAATATGGTACTTTTTTTGGAATTAATCATGAATAAAAACGCAAAAAGAAAACAAAAATTCTATAATTCATATTGTTGTCTATCTTCCATTGTCAAAACAGCTTCTACATCCCAGGTAAAAATTTATTTTTGCTTCATTCTATCAAAATAAAATTCTACTGACAACTCGAACAGAGACCTACAGTACATTTTTGAAGGCTTGAGTAAAGGCATTTCAAGTTACGAAAATCAAATGGTATGTCACTGTCATGTCTTCCTCACATAATTGTTACATAATTGTTATCTTTATTGGGAATCAGTTTAGAAATTATAATAGGATTTTCAGTAACACTGGTAAGGCCAAGTGTTACAGCATCTGTACAATGTGAACTTGTCTAAGTGTTTCTTTTTGGCATCACACTGTATATCTTAACATTCACTTCTTATTACCATTAGATGGTGTAGCTTAGGTTTTTGCATTTCTTAGGTTAAAAAAATAACGATAGATGATACTTCAATCTTGTAAGGAGAGTTATTTAAAGTAATAAACCCCCCATGACTTCTGAAACATGACCTTTGCATACCATCTAAAATATTACAATCATTATCTGTACATTTTATTAGTGATTCACAATATATACAAATACTTTTGATAACATGGACTAAAGAATCAACAGCATGTACAATTCCAGTAAAACTTTTCCAAAAAAATCATGGTTATGAAAAAACTTTAAATAAATACAGTGATCAAAGCAAATACTTGACCAATTTCTGATTAAAAACAAATTTTAACAGATGTATATACTCTATTACATCATAAGTGAAATACCAGTCAAAATAATTGAAGCAGGAAAAAATATGACAGAACCCTCATGATCTACATGTAGTTTTAAATAATAAATGACATGATAATTTTAATTTTACAAATTTCCATGTAGAAAAAATCCATCTAAATTAACTATACCTTTTCTTTTTTTCAGCTTGTTGTCCAGTTGTTCTACTTGACTTTAGGTTGAAAAAAAATCAAGTCATCCATCTGTGGTCAAAAACATTTGGTGTCAATGTCATTCTTACAAAATAATTATCAATGCTATAGAAATAATTGCAAATTTTAAATTCAAAGAAATATTTCAGATTATGTCTATAAACATACTAGGTTGCTTATACTAAAAAAGGCACATTTCATTTTTTTTTTTTAAATCTTTTGGTGCATGTTCAACAGTCCACTGTTATCAGTTTGGCCTTTTTAAGTCCATCCATTTTGTAAATTTCTACGACGGAAATTAACTTGAAATGACGCATATAGTGACTGTTTTCATCACAACAGAAATAGCATCCCACACAAAGTAACTGTTAAATGAAAACAAAATGACACCCATTTTAAAAATGAAGAATTATGCTGCAATGTAACATACTTTACACATCAATTTACTAATGAATGAATTCTAGTTTTAGAGTCAAACTTGATGACTTTTGAAAATCACTTCATTCAAAACATTACTCATTTGTCATTAATCGACTGCCTGTGCGTTCTACTATACATAAGGCTTTCATGAATATCTTTTCTAAAATTATACAGATTCCAAGAACACCAATGAGAATACACAAATTTGCAAAGAGCACCAGAAACTTAATGTGGAATGTAGTGTATCATAGTATCTCCCTATGACTGAAACTGCAGGAACTTGATTTAAGTCCTTATTCCCTACAATTTTGTTAACTTAGCACCTTAATGACAATGAGCATGTTAGCTCAAGTATATATATATATATATATATTTGTAATATCTGAACTATCCATTCAGTTTCTGGATGTCAAACCAAGGCAACAATCAACAATTGAATTGGAAGCCTTTCCTGCTTTTTTTTTCTATTCTTCTGAAAAGTTAAATCTGTCCAATTTACACTTTAAACATCTGGCAATAGTCCTTAAATATACTCATAGTACAACAATGGCATTATGCTTACAACTCATAGAAAGAAGGTGCATCCCTATATACAAAATTGTATATATTATTAAACAATTACATTTGTTGCCACACATGAGCAGTTGAAGTCCTCACATACATGTAAATGGCCTGTTTATAATGTAACTGATGTAACTTCAACAAAGCCTTGCACTTTTTTTATTTTAACTAAGTCCCTTTAAAATGTGTGCACTGTACTCATTCGACATTAAGTCTAAACCAAAGAAAGTCCACAATATTGGCATGTGTCATGACAAGTAAGGTTCCATGATTTCGCCTACAGCTCCTGGTCCCCAGTGGGTCAATTGGTCCTGGAATACAAAACATTTCACACTAAGCTACATGTTCTAACATGAAATATAAACAATTTATATAAAGAGGTAGCCACTTATTGTTGCTAAATAGCTATAATTATAAATGTCTCTTCGGCTTTTTCTAGAGGAGATTGGTTGATCATGCTTGGATCATGACGAGCCCCACCATGAGGAGCATTTGTAACAAATACTTAAAAAACAATTTTATCAGATAAAAAATTGCTGTTACTGCCCCAGCTTCCACATCTTTCTTAAACAAATAAACACTATTATAAAAGTAAAATGTTAATCATCCAGAGTGTAAATCAAAATGGAAAACACTTGAACTAAACATGTACACACCTGAGGTAAATAAAGACAAGCACTGGACAACTTGAAAACTATTGCTTTATTCTTTTGCGTCTGAAAATAAAAATAAAATCAAAGAGTTAGAGAGAAGAAAAAATGTTCCCTTTGCAAAAAATACATATTTCTTAATATGTGAATGTATACATAACTTCAGTCTTTTTCTTAAACAAATTACATACAAATTACAAAATAAATTCTTTTAAACTCAATCCAATCCAATACTTCACTTAACATAATCAATGTTGTAAATGTATGAGGAACAGCCATTGATGCTGATGTGTTCACTTGGATTACAATACAGCAGACTACTACCATCTATAATACAAACTGAAAAAAAAAGGACAAAAAAGAAAGTTGTTTACCTCCACAGGGTATCTATCTACAAATAAAAACATGGATTGTGATGGGTTGCTGATGATTAGGCCAGTCTTCTCTTTTCCAGATACTAGACGTAGCAGCTGCTTCTCATATTCTATGCACTCAAATATAAAGTCAACCTGGAGAAATAAATGACTATAGTTATCAAATGTACACAAGTGGGTGTTGGTACAAAACTTCTTGTGAGGTAGGCACTTTGTGTGATACACCACATTGCAACTCATATATTCTAAAGGGGAAAATGGATTGTAACTTGGTGAGGTGGTATGGGCCATGACTGGATAGCTTTTATCATATGTTTATTTTAAGTTATAAAAGCTAATATAAACATATAAAACTAACTTATTTTTACATAAAAAAGATCACTATATGAAGACTTACCTTAAGTGGTTTGAAAGCCAAGTCATTTTCTCCCTTCCATCTTGAGAACAGTAAGCACTGAATGCTTTGAAGATCATTCCTTGGCCAGAGGAAAAAGTCCATCTCAGTTGTACATCCTAAGACATCCTAATGAAAGCATGTAATGTTATTTTACTTTCACTCCAGTAACCAAACCGAAATTAATATGTTTCCTTTGAATTGGAAATTGATTCACATCTTTTCAGCTAACTTACTTTTCTTTTTAATCAATACTATATAACAGGGCTTTTCCCAGGATTGGGGGTACAGGCCGTCCAAAATTACCACATAATTAAGTCCATGCATCACTATTAAAGTCTTGTTTCACAAAAAATCTAAAAGGCTACTTTTTTCTTAGCTGCTAGTCAATGAAGCCTAGCCTCCTCAGGAAGTGTCTTAAGTCAGCAAGCTTAACTAAAACTCAGTAAATCAGAGCATAATCAACAAAAATTTGGAAAGAACATACCTCCTTCAAGATATTGTGTTATAATATCCTTGAATAGTACTGAAATTTATTGAATTTTCAAATAAAAAATAAATTGCAACTTCACCCAGCCAATCATGGGTTTGTTTATATTTTTTATGTCTGATGGCAGGATGCCAAGACAAGCTAATGTTTTACTGTTACTTTGAAGTTGTATTGAAGTTAAATTTATCAGTAAGGTTCAAAAACACACTTTATGTTTTGGCGGATTGTTGATAAACCATTGTCCAAAAGAGGATGTAAAACATCCCTATTTTGTGAAACTTTAGGGATTTTTACACCCCCTTTTTTTAAAGAGTTTTTTGTACGCATTGACCACCACAACCAAACGAGGTAAAGACTTTAGATTTTTTGTGAAACAATCCCAGTCTACTGCAGCGTAGTGGACCTAGCAAGGTCACTGAGCCTGAGCTAGTCACCTACGAATTTGAGATTCTCTGTAAAATGGGGGCCTGAACAATGAGCATTGAAGTTATTTGGACAATTATTAATGACATGGGGCTTGATTTGCGAGAATTTATGACTTACTTTTCTCATGGACTGCCACCTTGGAGAATGCAATTGGACAACATCCTTCTCCAAGAGTTCAATTGAGCTTTCATATGAATAACCTTCTTCCTGAAAAAAAGAATAAATAAATGAATAATTAAAATATTCCCTAAATCTCATCTAATGGGAAAATGTATCAAATTCAACGATAGAGCCAGGTTTGGCTTTTTAAATACAATTCACAACTTTTCAAGGGAAACTTACCTTTACCCCTCTCAAAATACTTTCTTCGTAGTTATTTGTCATAACAGGAACAACTTCAGCCATCTCAAACACAGCAGGTTTTTTCTTCTACAAATAAATAACAAAAGAAAGTGTTGTTATAAAATCTTAAATTTAAAATACTGTGACTTGTGGATAAATCCTAACTGTGATGTAATTCAATGATCTATCAAACATTCATACATAGATTGTTAAATGATAAGGTGACATCAAGTGGAATGCAATTTATAGTTAAACATTTTTGATCAACTTAATTCAAAAGTTAGCAAATGGATCATACAAATGTCCGTTTTTAAAATTTCATGAATTAAGAGATACAACTCTTGACTGCAGCAAAATTGACTATGACATCATCTTCCCCACACAGAATGTGATGGTTGTGAGTCATTAAAGGACATGTACTCAGTACCACTTTTCTACTTATCAATAATGTTTAGTTGAAGAGTTTGTCACAGATTATACTCTATTCATGGCTGTCTTTAGTTTTTGTACTTTAACCCTTTCCTGATCACAAAAGTTGGTCAAGTCATCACCTGGGGAATCCTATTACTTTTGCACATAACACTGAAAATGATGTGTGTTATGACATCTATATTTTTCACTGCAATGGCTTGAAATTTTCACTGTTAATAGAAAACATCGATGTAAATGTACTCTAAAATGTTCTTTAAAAAATCCAATATTTAGTTGTCGTACCACTAGTGTAATTATCAATCTTGCATTTTTTCTATTAAATTTTTTACCTTTGAGTTAAATTTCATGGTGCTCGGCAGCTCCAGTGATATTCAATGCAGACATAATGCATAAAAATTTAATAAAAATTATCATCTTTCAATTATAAAAAAATATTTATTAATATAACCTACAAACACATAAAAGAAGATAAAAGTATTATTTTTGCTGCAAAGTTTAATCCAAATTTCTGACCCGAAAGTCAACTCCACATTTAGCATGGACCCAGCACAGTTTTGGCTTGCATGTTCTCTGCTGTATTAAATTGCCAAATTTCAAGATGACTGATTAAGAAATATTGAAAGCATAGTTATTTAAAAGTAACCAATTCACATAGGCCTTTTCAGGCCTTCCGACCAGGACCCCCCAACAGGTCTTTTCAAGTTTTCTGACCAGGAAAGGATTAGTTTTGTAGCATTTTAGGGGAAATACCAGTCTACCCCAGCAAGTCATCACAATGTCTAGAACATCCATGGGGAAGGGGACATTTTTCAAGGCCAGATGCAACAAGTAACAGGCTCAATTATTATACCACCAAGTCTACCCAAGGCTTTGAGCCTGAAGTCAACAGAAAAGCTGGAAAAAACAGCATTCAAGTTTGTACAGGTATAATGAATCTATCAAAAAAATTTTAACTATACCTTGTCCTTGAAGTGAAATATCATGAACATCTTGAAGTCAAATTGATCTGCCAGTGACTCTCTCTTCTTACGAAGCTGACTACGTAACCTGTTGACGGCAGCACTGCGGCGAGTATGTGGATCACCCATTGTGAATGTCAGTTCTCAAGTAAATGACAAAAAACTCAACAATGCAATATATATTGTGCACTTCCTACTGTAACTTGGTTTTGAAGAAATATTATGAAAGTGAAAAAAAACTACACGCATGCAATCAAATATTGTTGAGGTTGTATGTTTACTATCACATTTTGCTCTACTGCAAGTCGATCCTGATGGCAAGTTCTTGTTTCGGTTTCTTTCCGTGTATCGTACCTTTGGGATTTCCCACACCAGAAAAGGCACCTGGCGTGTAACACTTGTTAATGCGTTTTTCTTTCCTTTCTGACGTTACCTACAAGAATCACTTCTACCTATAAGGAGTCCCACTACCGTCAAGTGCCTCGTTACTCGAAAACGTAACAAATACATGTTGTAAATGGTTAATTGCTTGAATATATTCGCCTGCCAGGTGAGTACACCTTCTGCTCAAACTATCATGGCGTCTTGTGACGTCAATTTGCGACGGAAATCCCCGACATAAGTTCGACCTAGGAAATATCCATTTTTTTATTTAATGATTAACCAATTTTTATATTTAAAAACATTTCAAATGTTTAAATAACTCCTTATGAAAAACATTTTGAGAAATCAGAATTATAAACTAAAAAACATATCCTTAGCAACCTCGTTTGCGGAGCCTGTGTACATCATGGCGGCACCCACCTGCTGACAAATACACAACGACGAAGAAAATGAAGATCGAATTTAGGATTTTGTGACCTCCAGTCCTATCAGCCAAAATACAACTGTAAGCAAAAGCCTAATTATTGCGAACATATGTTTGATATGCATTTGATACGTTCTGTGACTTTGGCAAAACCTCAAATGTACCGATTATCTTGAATGTCGCCGACGGTTTACATTCGAAAAAAAATGCTTGCCCAATGTTCAACTACATTATACAGTAGGTGACCCAGAGGATAAGGAAAATATATTCCTGCAGAAAACTAGTCTGAAGTAAATGCTGTAATGTTAAGTTTCACTTTTATGATAAAATATCATTGGGACGTCATGTCTCAATGACAAATAACGGGGATGAAAGGTGACCAAAAAAGTTGGGGGGAGAGGTATTCAAAAAAATTGAGAACCCCGACGTACAGATGACTTGCCAATTGAACATCATTTCACAATATCTTTTATGTTTTAGAACATTATAGTGCATTAATCATTATTGTGCTGACACACGAATTTTAGTTCTTAAGTACACATGCTAATGATATATTTCTGTACAGAGTTAACTAATCGGTCCACACCATGAGTTCCTCAAGTGAAAGAAAAAAGAAAAGTCGGAAGTCCAAAATACATCCAGATACTGGACGAGGTGTTGTAAATGGAGGGTTTGAAATGACCCCAGTGGAGAGTGAGGAGGATAATAACAGGTCTGTGCAAGTTAGGTATCAATAACAGTACTAACTTGTAGTTTAAACATATTGTGGAGCAAGGAATAATTCATATCAGATTAATATATCATAATAAAATTTTAAATATTAAATGATTATTAAAACATTAAATATTATAATTTTTTTAATGTATTGAAATGCATAAGAATCTGGTGAAAGAAATGTAAAAAATATGTGTACACAAACTCAGTGTACTACAGTTGTATTATTTTTATTTTCAGAACTTCAACCTTTAAGAATAAAATGAAAAACAATAAAACACTGGCAGTGAATGCACTCAAAGTGATATCAAATGTGAGAGGCAAAGCATCAAAATGGGCTCATTATGTAAAGACAAGGAGAACTGCTAGGAAAAATAGTAAGTTTAATTTTTCACCCTATCCTTATTCTGTGTGTCATAGTATGGATAATATATTTGCTCATGATTTAATGTACATATTTTAACTTTTTGTCTATAAAATCAGCTCTGCTCTTAGTATGGATAATATTTCTAAATTATGAATTTTGTGCACAGAATTAAAAAAAGTTTTTTTGGCCTGATTGGATTTTTTATGTTTGTCAGTCAACCTGTATGTTCCTGGTATTCCATTGAGCAGGCTCCTTAAAATGAGAGAAAATAATCGCATCAGTCAGCATTTCATGAAATGTAGGCAGTTTGTCATTGCAATGAGTGCAATTTAGTGTTAAGTGTGTTACTGATTCTTTTGTTTGTTTATTATTTTTTTTAATCAAATTTTGATGGAGCTCTGTTCCAATGATTGTGTGGTTTTATACATGGTCTTTTTGAAAAATAATATCATGCCATATATTTTTCTCTCCTGTTATAAAATTGAAGGCAAAAAAGGTGACAAGTTTTTATCATTATTCAGTTATGTTATCACAGTGTATGCATGCATGCATATTATTATTATTTTTTTTTTTTGTCAGTTCATTTTTGTTTCATGTTTATTGTACTTTGATTTCTTTCTTTTTTGTATAGCCGACACATATGAAGGTATATGATTGCAGAATATGCATGTAACTCACATTATTGCATTTAGATGGCATTAACTTTAAAGATGAAGGGCATATTTTCTGAAGCAAAATTAATAAACCATAGAGATGGAAAATTTTTATACGTTCATTTGTAGCAGGAAGAGAATTATGAGGCTAGTAAACAAATCCACCACTGTAGCAGTGACTAAGTCCCTGAAAACAAGCTTGAGGATGCAGTTGTTTGCTAATAAATTAGGTGAATTGTAGAAAATTAGCAACATTTATTTTTCAAAATGTAACTTATCAGTAATTTCTCCACTTGTTTAAAAAAATTAATTTTGCTATTTTTTTCAGTTGAAAAAGAGAAAAGTCTTTATGCCTAATCTGAATGCAAAATGTGACATGCATGTGTATTAGTAGTTGTACATGCAGCGCTTCTTTCTATATCTTCCCTTTCTTTTGTTTATCCAGATATAAGAAAATGGAAAGGTAATAGATACTGCTTTAAGCTTTGTGATGCTTCCTAATATATAACATTGTGTCAAATTTAAAATTTGTTTTCCCCAGAGAAACTGTTATATATTGTAAAATGAATGTAATGACATAACCTTTCTCTAGCCTTCCATGTAATCACAGTGTCTGATACATGTACATACCCCATACACTGATTGTTTTTGTATTTTATCTAAAATGACTTGATCTTTATTATGACATCCTGCATTTGCATGGATTCTCAACACTGCTGCACTCCACATAAACAATATTATAATGATAATTAGACACAGATGTAACTTTTTGTCCTAACATTCCGTTTCACAAAATGTTTAAGGTTTTAGGACTTTTATTAGTGTGCAAAAATAGAAAAGTTGACTACATTAAGTAAACTTTGTAATATTTGTCAAATACCTTTTGGGGAATGTTTGCAGTCTTAGCAAAATTCTTGGCTTCTTTTTGGATTCTTGCATATTTGAAAGAAGGATTTTTACCATGCAAATGAGGAACAGTAATATTGTGAAACACATCGCTTTGTGAATATGTTGCTACAATTTCACAAAATATAACATGTATTGTGTCCAGATTTTGTATAGAATGCAAGGCACATAGATATATATTTGACTGACAGCTTCTTTGCTGTTTTAATATATGAGCTTGTTACTATGCCATGCCTCTATTGTTTTCAGTGTTTTAGAATATGAATTGCTTTTTTCACGCTTGGCAGTTTTCAGAGTAAATTTATCTGTTTTATGAGGCTTTGTTATAAAAGTTTTTTTCAAATATTTATGAATAACAACTAATTGTTAATTTGCATTTTAATACAATCTATTGATTGATAAATATGTTTAATTTTCTCATTAAAATGTGAATTTTGTCTTAACTTACAGAAGAAAAATTATCTTTTAAATTATTTTTTGATGCAATACAAAAATACAAGAATGCACATGTAAATTGTCCAAAGCAGTTCTAAAACAGTTTTGATGTATATGTACTTCAGTTGTGCATCATGAGGGAGATAATGATAAAGAAGACCATAAACCTCAAAAGGATATCGGCCTGGGAGAAGTAGACCCAGGATTTCTATCCAAAGTTTTGTCTCAGGGCAGTAAACCATCATCAGTGGAACATAACAGAGCACTGATTCACTATTTTGCCAAACTTGGGTGTTCTGGAGACGAGAATGAGGCCATTGATTTAGACTATGTAGAGGACTTGATCAGGGCAGGAGCACGTGTGGACTGCACAGATAAACAGGGGCAGACAGTACTACATGAGGTATATGGTTAAAAGATTGCGTGCTAGAATAAAGTGAAGCAAAATATGAAACATTTTCAGTTATACATTATATATATTTTTCATTATTAAAAATTTAAATGCTGTTTTTTTCTGTTTGTTATTAACAGCTTGGTTTGATATTACATTTTAAGACAATTAAGCCTTCTGTTTTTTTTTTCCTAGTTAGTCTAGTAAGTATATTTTATTTATCTCTTTGTTTCAGGCTGCAAGAGCATGGCATGTAGATGTTGCAAAGTTTCTGATTGAACATCATGCCAATGTTAATCAACCTGATGCCTTTGGAAGGACACCGCTCCATGTGGCAGCTTCTGTTGATTATGCAGAAATGGTCAATTTCCTTGTTGCAAATGGGGGTCAGTATTTGATTCACATATATAAACATATCACCATTCTTGATTTTCTTTTGACATCTATACAAAACTTTTTTTTCCATTTAAGTATCACAAGGGGGAAAGGGGTCATTAATCCATCACTACTCTTTACTCCCATGTTTCCTCAGAAAATTCCCAACAGAAGTTGCAGTTTAGGGCAAATTGAAGTACTTGTATATGATATGTACATTTGTGGGCCATTTCTCATTGGGCGGGATCAACAAGCTGTATCTACATTTTAAAAAAAAGGGAGAGGGGTCAATGTGGTGGTTCTTCAGTCCAACAGCATTACTGTCATAAAAATGCAATGCAGTTTATGAAAATTGAAATAAATATGTTATTTCTATAGTGCATGATTCAGGACACTCAACAGCAATTTGATCGTAAAACTGCTAACTATTTCAACTTATTTTGATAACAGTTAATCTGTGATAATTTGCACCTTTTTAAAGCAAACATTGAGGCCAAAAGCAAGGAATTGCAGACACCTGTCCATTTTGCCGCTAGAAATGATGCTGTGAAGTCCCTCACTGCCCTAATTAAGAATGGATGTGAATACAAACAGGTTAGAGATCACAAGCAGAGGACACCTTTGATGTTGGCAGCACAGCTTGGTAAGTTTGCATTGTGTCATGAGAATTAACATCTATAACACATGGACAAATGTAATGCAGAGGTGAAAGGAAAAGTAAGGAGATTTACTTGATGATTGCAGAATACTCCATGAAATGCTTTTTATTTTGGCTGTTTGGATAATTGTTCTTTCATGTCCAAAAGCTGCTCCACAATTTCCTTCAATTCAGAAAACTGTATCAATGGCTCTGCTGCACATTTCATAGTTCCTTTGGTCATTTTTGGAACCTCCATGAATTATCTCATGTTTCTCTCTTTCTTCCTGACTTATCCAGTTAAAACTTACCCAGCTTGTGCTTGATCTATTTTGTTACTCTAGTGGCATGTAACATTTAATTTCCAGATCGCAGTGAGACAGCTCGTACACTTATGGAAATGGGAGCTCCAGCTGGCGTGACTGACTGTTATGGAGAAGGTGCAGTAGCTTGGATGATCACCAAGATGGCACCAGTAGTAAGTGTAAAACATTAAAATCTATTCGTCTAAATTTCTTAGTTTTGATTATTTATAACTTGTCTTATCTTTTTTTTTTTTTTTTTTTTTTTTTTTTTTTCCATACAAA